ATGGATGAGCAAAGCAAATATAAATAACCATAATCTCATATAATCTCACTATCCCAAGATAACCATAATAAATAGTTTGGTATATAGGCCTCCAGGCTTTTTTCTGTGTGCATGTGTGCACTATACTCTAGTTTTAGAAAATACTCATTAACATGTTAACATGCTATTTTTCTTCAATATTACTTAAGATTACTGCATGTTATTCCCTTATATGGCTGTGCCATTCTATTTTTAAGACTTATTGTGGACTACTTACTGAAATTTCTAATTTTCTTCTATTATAAACTTTGCTTTAATAACCTCACTTATTGGTAAATCTCTGTAAATATCCATATATATTTTTAGGATTAGCTATTACATGTAGAAATATCAGGTCAAATAGAGTGCACATTTTTATATTTTTCATTTTTACTTATTTTATTGATTTTTAGAGAGACAGAGATACTAATTTTTTAAAAATAAATCTTTATTGTTCAGATTATTACAAATGTGTTCCTCTTCCCCCCCTCAATTGCTCCCCTCCACCAGGTTCCCACCCCACCCTCTGCCCTTTCCCCATCCCCCATTGTCCTCATCCATAGGTGCACAGTTTATGTTCAGTCTCTTCCCACACCCCCCTCTCCCTTTTTCCCCAAGAATCGGCAGTTCACTCCCCTTCCATACCTCTGATTCTATTATATTCACCAGTTAATATTGTTCATTAGATTTTTTTTTAATTTCCTTGGTTTTTAGATTCACTTGTTGATAGTTACATATTTGTTGTTCATAATTTTTATCTTTATCTTTTTCCTCTTCCTAAATAACCCCCTTCAGCAATTCATATTCTGGTTTGGCGGTGATGAACTCTTTTAGCTTTTTTTTTTATTTGTGAAGCTCTTTATCTGGCTTGATAGCTTTGCTGGGTAGAGTATTTTTTTAAAAAAATATATTTTATTGATTTTTCACAGAGAGGAAGAGAGAAGGATAGAGAGCTAGAAACATCGATGAGAGAGAATCATCGATCATCTGCCTCTTGCACACCCCCTGCTGGGGATGTGCCCGCAACCAAGGTACATGCCCTTGACCGAAATCGAACCCGGGACCTTTCAGTCCGCATGCCGACGCTCTATCCACTGAGCCAAACCGGTGCCGGCATGGGTAGAGTATTTTTGGCTGTAGGTTCTTGCTATTCATCACCTTGAATATTTCTTGCCATTCCCATCTGGCCTGCATAGTTTCTGTTGAGAAATCAGCTGACAGTCGTATGGGTGCTCCTTTATAGGTAACTACCTGCTTTGCTCTTGCTGCTTTTAATATTCTCTCTTTGTCTTTTGCTCTTGGAATTTTAATTATAATGTGTCTTGGTGTGGTCCTCCTTGGATTCCTTTTGTTTGGGGTTCTGCAGGCTTCCTGGACTTGTAAGTCTATTTCTTTCACCAGGTGGGGGAAGTTTTCTGTCACTATTTCTTCCAGTATTCTTTCGGTATCTTGCTCTCTCTCTTCTTCTGAAATCCCCATAATTCTGATGTTGGTTCACTTGAAATTGTCCCAGAGGTTTCTTACACTATCTTCAACTTTCTGGATTCTCTTATCTTCTTGCTTCTGCAGAGGAGTGTCCTCTGGCTCTTTGTGTTCTAAATCTTTGTCTTGATTCTTGTGATCTTCCAGTCTGTTTTTAGGACTTCGTATGATATTTTTTATTTCAGACAATGTTTTCTTCATTTCTAGTTGATCCCTTTTCATATCCTCGTAGGTCTCATTTATTTTATCGGCCTTTTTTAGGATATTGTTGAATAACCTTACAACTGTAGTTTTGAACTCAATGTCCAATCTTTTCTTTTCCTCCATCTCCTTCCTTTGTGTCCTTCCTCTTGTCTGCATTTTAGTTGTTTCCCTGATTTGATGGAATAGCTTTGTGTGCTAGGTGTTCTGGTAGAGCCCAGTAGCACAGCCTTCCCAGTTACCTGCGGTAGACAGTCTTGGTGTAGCCCTTTGTGGGCTGTGTGTGCAGTTTTGTTGTTAAGCCTTGCTTATTGTTGGTATCACTGGGAAGCGTTGATCTCCAAGCCAATTGGCTGTGAGGATCAGCAGTGTCTCAGCTAGGAGGGCTTCTGTACTCTGCTTGGATAGGGCGGGGTCTCAGGGTGGCGCAGACAATCTTTGGTTCCCTGTCAGTCTCGCCTTAGAAAAGTCCTGTTTGCTGTGAGTTTCAGAAGATTGGTTGCAGGCGTGCGCACCTCTTTGGTAAAGGCACAGACAAGCTTTGGATTCCGGCCAGTCCCTCCTTAGAGAAAGCCAGCCTCTGGGAGAGCTTCTGTGCTCAGCCACAGATGGGGTGGAGTCTCGGGTTGGTGCAGACAAACTTTGTTGTCCCTTCGGCTCCTCCCCAAGTCCTGCAGTAATGGCCTCTGGCTTCACACACCTCCGAGAGATCTCTGCCCACTGCCTGACAGTCTGGCCTCTCCCTGTCTCGGGCCGTCTATCAGAGCAATAGGCTGATTCTGGTTTCCTCTCGAACAAGAAAGCCAGCCAAGCGTTAGCTGTCTGCCCTCTCCGCTTGCCAGGTGTAAGCCAGCAGCAATGTTGGTCTGGCCCTTCCTCTCCACGCCGGGAGTAAGCCAGCGCCTTTAGTGCACACAGTTCTCTGTACCTTCACAGTTCCTGAAGCTCAGCGTGCCTTCTCTTTCCTTCCCAGATGGCAGAGCCTCCTCTCAGCTAGCCATCCGGCGCTTCAGGGCAATGCCTCCCCTGTTTTCCAGTTCTAAATTCAAATTTGTTGTGGTAGGCTGCATTCTGGTGTCTACTCTATTGCCGCCATCTTGGTTTTCTCGAGATACTGATTTTTGATGTTCCACTTATTTATGCATTTATTGGTTGATTTTTTTGGTATGTGGTCTGATTGGGAATCAATCCTGCAACCATGATGTATTGGGTTTCTCTAACCAATTGAGCTCCCCAGGGGAATAAAATCTAGTTTACTGAGTCCTAACCGGGAATTGAACCATGACCTCCAGGTTCATAGGTTGACGCTCAACCTCTGATCCACTGCAGCTGGGCTAATATTAACTTTTAATTATTTTCCCCCTCAAATATTCAATCAGCTGTCAATTTCTGTAGGTTCTGTATTTACAATTTTACACCTACTTCTTCCTTTCTAATTTCAGTGTCATATTCTCCCATCTTTCTTCTTCCTCCATTTTCCTCTCACTACCTGGATGGCTTAGTCTATTCAAGCTACTAAAATAAAGTAGGACAGTTGAGTGGCATATAAAGAACAGAATTTATTTCTCACAGTTCTGGAGGCTGGGAGTCTAAGCCAGAGTGCAGCATGGTGGAAGCCCTCCTACAGGCTGCAGACTTAGTAACTTGTCAGTGTCCTCAAAGCGGAGATGGGGCAGGTATCTCCCTAGGGTCTTTTTTACTATAAGGGCACTAATCCTATTCAGGAGGACTGATCAAAGGCCTACCTCTAAATACTATCACATTAGGAATTAGGATTTCAACATATGAATTTTGTGGGGACACATTCTGACCATAACACTGGATTATTCCAGGATTCTCTGTTACAATTATTGCCAGGTCTATCTTCACTCTTGGCATTTGTAAATGTCTTCCACAATGTGGATGAAACTAAGGGTCTTGTCTCATTACTGTTATTCTTCTAGGTAAAACTCAGGTCCAACCAAATAAAATACTGTCTCCTCAATATGCATTTTCTCACCTTAATACTTTAGTTCAAGTTGTTAGGTCCTGGTAGAAAATGCTTCTCCCCCTAACCTCCTACTCCCGCCCCCAATCTCTGTCACTCAGAAATATTATACATTCTTTTCCTGTTGTTGTTAATCCTCATCTGAGGATATATTTTTCCATTGATATTTAGAGAGAGTAGAAAGAAGGGAGGGAGGGAAAGAGAGAAAGAGAAACATCGATATGAGAGAAATGAAACTGGTTGCCTCCTGCACACCCCCTATTGGGAATTGAGCTGGCAACCCAAGCATATTCCCTGACAGGAATTGAACCAATGACCTCTTGGTTCCTGGGTGGATGCTCACCAGTCTGACAGCACATGAACATTCTTAAGTACTTCAAAGGTTTGTGGAATTTGGGTATCTCCACGCATTGCTGCACAACTGAAAGATTCCAGAATTTAAGTTCCCAGGCTAGTTAAAGCAAGAAAAGAATTACATCCTTTGCCGCTTAGCCTACTCGATTTTTATAATTTAGCAGCTTGACATAGTGACTCCATTTTATTTCTTCACTCTTTTCCTCAGCCAGAATCTAATTCTTCTGTGCCTGGCTTATTGTAAGTATTTAAAATGTATTAAATGAACGTTATACACTCTATTGGGATATTATGTAACTAAATGCACATGAAATCAGGTTTAAGAAAAAAAAATTCACAAAACATTGATATTACATCTAAAAAAAAAAAAAAAAAAAACAACCAAAAAACCCACATATGGAATCAGGTTGTTAATAATCAGAAGGGGCCGGAGAAAGTCAACTGCCACATGTGTAGTGCAATTTATTATTGTTGTTGTTGGTGGTGGTGGTGGTGGTGTGTGTGTGTATGTGTGTGTGTGTGTGTGTGTGTGTGTGTGTGTGTGTGTGTGTGTACTGCAATTTAAAAGGAGTCCTCGCGCACAGTTCGGGATTCTCACAAGCCTGTGGAGTGCGCCCGGAGGTATTATTAAGCTGTTGTGTGGGTGAGGAAGCTGACCCACTGGAGGTCAGAAATGACTAAGGCGGGGCCAGGATTCTAGCCCCGCCTCCCGGAACCGGCTCCTTCCCGGACACCCCTGGGCCACCCCGGATGGCGCTGGGGGTCTCTCGGTTTGCTTTCCTTCGCCCCCGTTCCGTTAGCGAACCAGACCCAGAGCCGCGGGCGGCCGCGAGGGGCAGGGGCCCGGGAAGGCGCAGGTGCCGGGGGCGGCGTTCCGGAGCCGCGCGGGCGGCCCCGCGGTGCCCGGGGCCCTGAGGTCGGCGGGGCCGCTCCCGCGGGCGCCGGGCGGGCGGGCGGCATGGCTGCGGCGCTGGCCTTCAGGGTGCTGGCGGGCCTGGTGGCCGCGGCGCTGACGGCCGTGCTGCTGGAGCACTACGGCCTGGCCGGCCAGCCCTCGCCGCTGCCCCTGACCCGCGTCCCCAGGAGGCCGCACCCTGCGCCGGGCGCCGAAGCCGGCAGTATCTTCTGGGCTCTGCAGGTGACGCTGGGGGAGCCTGGCGAGGGGGGCGAGGGGAGGCTGGGTGCAGAGCTGGCAGTTCCCGCGGGGGCAGGACCCGTGCCCATCCATTCAGGCCCCAAACTCTTGGGAGGGGCAGAAGGTGGGGATGGGGGTCGGTCCTTCCGTGGAGGGGATGGGTTCTCTGTTGCACTGCATCTTTGCTTTTTTCCTACCCCCATAGAGAGCCGCTGGGTGGCTCTGTACGGGCTGCCCCTTCCTGACTCAGATATCTGTTTAATACCTGCTTTCGGCAGATATCCGATCTTCACCTGAGCAAGTTTTATGACCCAGGCAGAGCTGCAGACTTAGAGAAGTTCTGTTCTGAAACTATTGACATCATTCAACCAGCTCTTGTCCTAGCAACAGGTAGGGAAGGTCGCTGGGCTATCATGTTCTGTGGTGCCGAAGGTAGAATGACAGCCAGGGCTGCAGCTCTTTGCTTTGGGAACATTGGGAACACTCTAGCCCCAGCTGCTGTAAAGGAGATAACATCATAATTTCATCTGTCTATGGATAACTGAATCAAGATCCAGGATAAAAGATTTGTCATAGCAAGGTTTTGTTAAAGCGGTAGAAGCAGGAATCAGTGTTCTCTATGTCTGCTGTATTTGTACCTGTTTTTTTATGTTGCATTCCTGAATTTGAGAGATTAGGGAAAGCCTTTTAACCCTAATCAAAAGTTACTTTTAAAACAAAACACACTCGTATTTCCATGTTTTTGTTTGTTTGTTTTTACAGTTAATCTTATTTTGTCAATTGTTTGAAGCTTAAATTACTCAGGACACTTTTTCTTCAGCCCTTGGTACTCCTGAGACTTGGGTTCCCTAATCTTCAAACCCCTAACGATTTGCTCCCAAACCATGTTGGAGGAGAAGAAGCTAAAGGAGCATCTATCTTGTCTACTAGGGGATTCATCCCCCCCACCTTACTGAAACACTGTACTGATAGAAGGAATAGCGGTCCTCATCTTATGGCAGACTTCTATTTCAAGGGTCTGTCAGTTTTCTAGAGATTTTTGTATTTCTTTGTCCAATCTACACCTTCCAGATTACCTTTTGCTGTAAAAATAATATTTGGTTAGATTACAGCCCCGCCTTAGTCATTTCTGACCTCCAGTGGGCCAGCTTCCTCACCCACACAACAGCTTAATAATTCCTCCGGGCGCACTTCACAGGCTTGTGAGAATCCCAAACTGTGCGCGAGGACTCCTTTTCTATCTTTCCCTCTCCTTTCCTCTCAGGACTCTAATGAAAAGGCACCTGCCCAGACTGTTGGAATTTCTTATAATTTTCATTAGAGTCCTGTGCTCTCTCTCTTTTTTAAAAGTATGTTTTTATTGATCTTTAGATTGAGAGGAAAGGAGAGAGAAAGATAGAACCATCAAATATCAAACAGCTGCCTCCCATGGGTGATGCAGTCCACAACCCGAGCATGTGCCCTAATTGGGAATTGAACCAGCAACCTCTTGGTGCATGTGTCAATCCACTGAGCCACTCTGGTCAGTCCATGCTCTCTTTAAAGATATTTTTTTCACAACCTGTTTCTAATATAGGAGGTAAATAGACATTTAGGCTAAGCTATAAGAAACAAATGAATAGACTCAAAAGTGGCTATGCTTACACATGTTGACTACTTTAAGTATCTGTTCCTTCAGTGTGCATTAAAATAAATTGAATCTTGAACCTCCTTTCAGGTTTATTTTGTATTGCAAATCATTTTTTATGTAAATCTACAGGAGATCTAACAGATGCCAAAACAAAGGACCTAATGGGTTCTACGCAGCAGAAGGTAGAATGGCAGACTTACTACAGTATTCTGAAGAAGACAAGGGTCATGGAAAAAACCAAGTGGCTTGATATCAAAGGAAATCATGGTAAGAGTCAAGACCCATATATAATTAAGGCTATATCTTTATTCCCTCCAGGGGCCTAGATTCTTTACCTAATAAAAGAGACTGTACCTTCATGACTCCCACCAGCCAATCAGGAGTGAGTATGCAAATTAACCCAACAAAAATGATGGATTAATTTGCATACATAGGCTCTGAGTGGCCAGGAGTGGGGTGGGACACTTACAACATCACCATGGCAAAAATGCAGGCATTCTGTATTACCCCAGCCACTCCGGAGGGAAGGTGGAAAGGTGGATTGGGCCAGAGCGAAGGAAGTTTTGGCAGCCAGAGGAAGGAAGGCCCATTCTTGCATGAATCTTCATGCATTAGGTCCCTAGTTTAGATTATAAAATGGAACATTATAACCTAGGTTTAGAAATACTAAAGGCCATAATTCTGAAATACAACTATAATATGTGATTTTAAAACTATAGATGTCACCTGGCCGGTGTGGCTCAGTGGTTGAGTGTCAACCTATGAACCAGGAGGTCATGGTTCTATTCCCCATTGGAGCATTTGCCCACGTTGTGGGCTTGATCCCCAGTGTGGGCATGCAGGTGGCAGCAGATCAGTGATTCTCTCATCGTTAATCTTTCTCTCCCTTCCTCTCTAAAATCAATAAAAATATATTTTAAAAATAAGTAAATATAAAAATATAGATGTCAATGTTGGCCTTAGAGGGGAAAGTTGGTATGGTCCTTTCTTTTTTACATGGAAGAAAAGCTAGCAAAACCCATGCAGGTGAATATTTTTTAAAATATGCATTTTGCTAAGTGAAAGAAGCCAAACTTGCCAGTCTATATACTTACTGTATGATTCCAGTTTTATCACATTCAAGAAAAGGCAAAACTATGGATAGATAACAGATTGCAATTGCCACGGGTAGGGATGGGGAGAAGGTTGACTATAAAGAGGCCATCAAGAGAGAATTTTGGAAGGTAGTGGAACTGTTCTGTATGTTGATTGTGGTGGTACATATATTACTGTGCATTTCTCAAAATCTAAAGAACTGTACATCACAAAGAATTACTTTTACTGTGTATAAATTAAATCCCCATCTGCATGAGAGATGGATAATCCCTTTCTGTTTTTTATATTATCATTGTTGTAATAGTAAGGAAATGAACTCTTCTCTACAAGTATCATGATGATAGTAGATTTGTTTGTTTTATAAAGGTTGACTTTCTTACTGGTTAGTTACTTGTCTGCTTCATTTGATTATTCATTGGTGGTAAGTACCTAATTATATTTTTTAAAATTCTACCATTTTAAGCAGATAAGTTTATCTGGTGAAATATACAGATGTTGGTTTGATTAAAAGATGCCTTTTTACAAAGCAACTATGAATTATAAATTGAAAATAGGATATCTGGCTTACAATTTTCTCTGATATATTTATATTTCCCCTTTTCCCTGATTCTTATTAGTGGTACAGGTCAAATTGTTTTGCAATAACTAATAAATATGTGTTTGTTTTTCTTTAAGTTTTCCAAGCCACGGTTCTAACTTATTCCAAGTAAGAAATATCAAATAAACTCTTGTGTTTAAATAATTTGCATAGTCCTCAGAGTTCATAATAATCTAACTTAACTTGCATAGGCATAAATGTTTATGGTATGGGCATATACATACATGAGAGCAGAAACTAATCTTTTTTAAGATTTAAGAGGAGAGGAGCTGTATTCAAAATGATCTGTTTTAGAGGCACTTGGTATGTATCCATATATCAGGCATCAATCCAGTCCTTGCTGGCTTCCAGAATCACATGTTTAAAACAATAGCAATAACCATCCAGTCTTATACTTTCAAAGTTATGTGTATTCTAAAATAGTACATAATTCAAAGTATTTATTATTTTCCAGTATACCTGATGCCTTTAACAAGTTTCCAGATAATCTGAATTCTATTTTCAAATTTAAAAAAAATAACAATCTAATTTATTGGCATTCTACCATTTAAAGTGTTATTGAAAGAATTGTAATTTTTCTTTAGTCATTAACACGTTTGCACTTTTTTCTTTTTACTATTTCGATTGATTTTCAGAGAGAGAGGAAGGGGGAAGAGAGACAGAAAGAGAAACACTGATGTGAGAGTGGAACATTGATTGGCTGCCTCCCACACGCTTCCTACTAGGGATCGAGCCCACAACTCAGGCATGTGCCCTGACTAGGAATTGAACCACAACCTTTTGGTGCCTGGGATAATGCCCAACCAACTGTGCTACACTGGCCAGGCTGCATTTTTCTTTTTAAGATGATGTTTGCTCTTTTCTTTTTAATTAGATTCATTCAATGTTCCAAGTCTGGAGAGCGTCGAGAATTATTACAGGTACTGTAATGAACAAAAGACAGACCATCATGTGTTACAAGAAGGGTACAGTCCATGAATGGGTGAAAAAATTTTTTAACTGATAAATTTCTATTTACAGAAACTGGTAATTTAGAAAAGGAGACTTTTATAAAAATGTGTATGACATACAATTTTTTGTTTTTGTTTTGGGACTTTTTCTTTTAATTCTTCTTATTTCACATGCTTTTTCTTGGGTAATGGTACTTGTAATCCACATATTTATTTACTTATTGCCATTGATGCATAGCAGAAGTCATTTAGATCAGAGCTTGCCAACTAGAACTCTATAGGTTTTAGGAATGCTGAGATAGTGATTTTCTCAGCCGCTAGGGTGGCTCAAGTGCCAAGTTGGTCATCTTTGGCTGCTTTGTCCTTTCATCCAGAATGTCATACAAATATTAAAGTTTTCTTTATGAGCCATGAATATGAAAAAGATTGTGAATGTGAAAGGATCTTGAATTAGAAAACTGATTCTCTGATCTCAATGTGTTAAGATTCTTTTTTTGATTATAAATTCACAGTATTTCTACATTGTCAGTCAAGTAGCAAATATTTATCGAGAGCCCATCATTGGTTAGATAGTATGAGAGATACAAGAGTAATATTTGTAAGGCCTCTGTATAAATGTTTAAGATTCCAATAGGTGGCTGTAGATGCACCGGTCATGCAGCCACCTAGACAGCCCTTGTATGTAAGTTCACTTACTTATTAAACTGGTCACCTACAAAAAAAAAAGAATTAATATTTAAAAATATAGTCTATACCTTCAAGGAAGTCTGTCTAGCTAAAGATGATAAAAAATTGTTTAGCAAACAACTAGAAAAGAACATGAAGGAATGGCTGATGAAATGCTAGATTATTATACATGTAATCATTCTGAGAAATCAGAAAAGGCGGAGGTCAGCTTGGAGTGGACAGAGAGAAGACTTCATTTTTAATTTAAAATTTTTTTAAATTTGGACTTAATTGGCATATGGTATTGTGTAAGTTTAAGATATATAGCATGTTCATGTTACATTTATATATTGCAATATGATTACCACCATAGCTAATACCTCTGTCTTGTCACATAATTATTTTTTTTGTGTGTGGTGACAAGAATTAATATCTAGTCTCTTTTCATCTTTGAAGTTATAGTATTGTTGACTATTGTGCATTAGGTCTTCAGAACTTATTTATCTACTAGTTATAAGTTAAAGAAGACTATATGAGAAGTGAAAATTGTGTCCAGCCTTTTTTATTTTTCAATATTTTTTATTGATTTTTTTTTTAGAGAAAGGAGAGTAAAGGGAGCAGGGAGAGAGATAAAAACATTGATGAGAAGGAAGTATTGATCAGCTGCCTCCTGCACACTTCCCACTGAGGATCAAGCCCGCCATCTGGGACTTTTATTACTGCATGTGGACCCTGTGAATGTTATCAGTATATTTTTAGGAATTGAAAAAGGTTTACTGACCCATACCTAGACTATCAGTTTTCTCCTTGTTTGATGACTTCGTTATAAGGTTTTATCTCTAGTTAAGTCTCTGTAGCCTGTTTCAAGAAATAAACACCTTTTGTATCTCACTGCACCAAGAATTCTGCTATGTACTTGTAGGACTTCACTACAGTTTGAATGATTGGTAAGTACTATTTCACTAGGATCTGACTCATCTCTTTTTATAGTGGACTGCTTAAAATCGCCCCCCTACTTCTCTGCTTTACTTGGCAACATTGTGTGTTGGTTACTGTCTTTAGAGACAATGGGAGAACAATCTTGAAAATTTCTTTTACACTTTATCCATTGTAGATCTAGTTCAGTGTATTTCTCTCACAGATCAGAGTAGGCAAACTATAGTGTGATATTAGGGCATTTAAATGTATTCAGTTTATTTTTTATTTTTATTTTTAATTTTTTTTATGATTGCACTAAAACGTTTCTGTCTTGTATTTTTTAGGAAATACTCTGCCATACGTACAGATGGCCCTTTCCATTATGTCCACAGAACTCCCTTTGGAAACTATTCTTTCATCTCTTTGGATGCCACTCTAATCCCAGGGCCTAAGAGGCCCTATAATTTCTTTGGAATTTTAAATGAGGTACAGTAAAAAGCTCACTTTGTAGCTAACCTATTTTCTTCAGATATATGTGGCTTACTTAAAATTATCCTAGGGAAATAAGTCCTTATCTAAAAATGGTTGAGAAAAAAAGTTTCCTGTGATTACAGGTATAGCCAGAAGAAATTACTGGCTACTTCAACATTATTTTTGCTATACCTATTCTTACCCTAAAATCTGAGAAAGAAGTACCTCACATTTTATATTTATTCAGTAAGCATTTATTAAATATATACTAAGTGTAAGATGCACTTAGCAAGGTATAGGGCATACAGCTTTGCATACTTTATGGTATATTCCTAAACCCAGCAGTTGCCATTTTTAACTGAAGGTCAGTCTCTCTCTATCTTTATATCTCTATATCTTTCTCTCAATATATATATTGAAATAAGTAAGTTTCTTTTAAACAATTTTTTGTGACCTAGGTGAAAACTTTTTGTAAGCTGGATTAAAACTGTCTGGGAAGTCACATCTGAGAGCCTCTCATTATTTCTTTCTTTTTTTTTTTAATACATATTTTTTTAATTGATTTTTTTACAGAGAGGAATGGAGAGAGAGAGAGAGCTAGAAACGTCAATGAGAGAGAAACACTGACCAGCTGCCTCTTGCACACCCACAACCGGGGATGTGCCCACAACCAACATACATGCCCCTGACCGGAATTGAACCTGGGACCTTTCAGTCCGCAGACCGATGCTCTACCACTGAGCCAAACCGGTTTCGGCTCATTATTTCTTAGTACAACAAATATCAACTCATTAAATGTTTAGTGAGCACATACTCATATGCAATATGTATGTGTCCATGTATAAGAATACAAAGGTGATATGGTCAAGTCCCTAGCCTCTTAAGATATTTAATTTAGATAGTAGTGGGGCATAAGACCAGTACAGAAATAACTCATAAAAGGCTGAATTTGCTAAGTGCTGAGATTCAAAGTGATATGAGGGTAGAGAGGGGCTTGAAATCAAGTGAACAGAATATTCTCTGATGCCTTGTGTTATAGTTGACATTTTATTTAATATATGTGTATTTTGTTTCCTATCTATGAAATGTCTTTAGACCGAGTTGATTATGTACTCCTCAGAATAATGTTTTTGTTTTTTTAAAATATATTTTATTGATTTTATACAGAGAGGAAGGGAGAGAGAGAGATAGAAACATCGATGAGAGAGAGTCATCGATCAGCTGCCTCTTGCACACCCCCTACTGGGGATATGCCCGCAACCAAGGTACATGCCCTTGATCGGAATCGAACCCGGGACCCTTCAATCCCCAAGCTGACGCTCTATCCATTGAGCCAAACCGGTCCCGGCAGAATAATGTTTCTTAAAGGTGTGATTCTATGATCATCTGCATAAAGATCAGCTGGAGTAATAAAATGAAGATTCCCGCGTTTACTTGCAATGTATCAAATTAGAAACACTGAGGGTGGGGCCCAAGAATTTATTGCCAATAGCACTTTACAGATAAATCAATGTATATTTACATATGTACAAGTTATTTTTGAAATCAACTTCTTGAGGGATGATTTACATATAATAAAATTCACTCATTTCAACTGTTTGAAGAGTTTTTAAAATATGTGTGTGTGTGTGTGTGTGTGTGTGTGTATATATATATATATATATATTTTTTTTTTTTTTTTAATTGATTTCAGAAAGGGAGAGGGAGAGAGAGAGAAACATCAACGATGAGAGAATCATTGATCGGCTGCCTCCTGCATGCCCTCATCTGGGGACTGAGCCCAAAAGCTGGGCATCTGCCCTGACTGAGAATTAAACTGAACTCCTAGTTCATAGGTTGACTTTCAATCACTGAGCCACACTGGCCGGATTGTTTGCAGAGTTTTTTTTTTTTTTTTTTTTTTTTTTGTGTGTGTGTGTGTGTGTGTGTTTAATATATATTTTTATTGATTTTTTACAGAGAGGAAGAGAAAAGGATAGAGTTAGAAACATTGATGAGAGAGGATCATCAATCAGCTGCCTCTTGCACACCCCCTACTGGGGATGTGCCCGCAACCAAGGTACATGCCCTTGACCGGAATCGAACCTTTCAGTCCGAAGGCCGATGCTCTATCCACTGAGCCAAACCGGTTTCAGCTGTTTGCAGAGTTTTGATAAATGTCTATACTGGTGTGTAACTCTCACCACAACTAAGAACTCCAGAAAGTTCTTTTGTAAAGTCAGTCTCCACCCCAGGGGACAATTGTTTGGGCTTTCTGTCAGCATAGATTACTTTTGTTTGTTCTAGAGTTTTATATAAATGAGATCATACAGAATGCATTCTTGCATTTGGCTTCTTTTGCTCAGTATGCTTCTGAGATTTATTCATATTATTGTGTCTATTAGGTCTTTCTGTTTAAAAAATACATTTTTATAGATTTTTTATTATATATTTTTTTGCTAATCCTCACTTGAGGATATTCTTTCATTAATTCATTTAATTTCATTAAAGAGAGTGGAAGGGAGGGGGAGAGACAGAGAGAGAAAAACATTGATGTGAGAGAGACACATCAATTGTTTTCCTCCTGCACATATCCCAACTGGGATTGAGCCTGCAACCGAGTTATATGGCCTTGACTAGGGATTGAACCCTGGACCCTTCAGTCCTTGGGCCGATGCTTTATCTACGGAGCAAACTAGGGCTTTATTGATTGTTTGTGTAACATTAATCGGCTGCCTCCTGCACACTTCATACCAGGGATTGATCCCAAAACCCGGGCATATGCCCTGATTGGGAATCAAACTATCAACCTCTTGGTGCACTAAAGATGCTCAACAAACTGAGCATCGCTGGCCAGGGAGTTCTTTTTTTTTTTTCAATCCTCACCTGATTTTCCATTGATTTCTTAAGGAGAGTAGAAGAAAGAGGGAAAGGCAGAGAGAAACATCAATATGAGAGAAACGGTTGCCTCCTGAACCCCTACGAGAGGCCAGGGCAGGGATAAGCCCTTCACTGGAATTGAACCCAGGACCCTTTGGTCCACAGACTGACATTCTATCAACTGAACCAAACTGGCCAGGGCCAGTTCTTTTTTTTTTTTTTTTTTTAATCTACTTGTTTTATTTTTATTATTTTTTTTAAATCAATCTTTATTGTTCATATTATTACAAAGGTTCCTCATTTCTTCCCCCCTCCACCAGGTTCCCACCCCTCCCTCCGCCCCCTCCCCATCCCCCATTGTCCTCATCCATAGGTGCAGTTTATGTTCAGTCTCTTCTTCCCTCCCTTTCCCCAATAGTAAATCCCTTTTCAGATAGTAAATCAGTTACTTAGCATTTTCTCAAATCAATAATACCTCCACATGCCCAATGATACACTTCACACAAAAGACATTTCCCAATAGGTCCACCAGCCTCATCCAGGCCCCACCCAAGGCACTCACAGATCAACACCCCAGCCCTATACTAACTCAACACATCCAGATCTAAGCCTTCATCACTTGATTCAGCAGACCCTCAAGTTCCCACGAAAGTTTCCAGCCATGTCTGAGAAGCAGCCGTGGGGCAGGGGCAGGCGAGGAGCGAGCTGTTCCGGGCCTGGCTCCTCAGGGCCTGGCCTCTGTTGCTCTGGTTCGTTCCACAACCAGCTGCTCCGGGTCTGGTCACTGCCGCTCCCGACCTAGTTGCTCTGGACTTGGCTGCTGCTGCTCCGGGCCTGGCCACTCCCAGCCTGGCAGCCGCTGCTCCGGGCCAGGGCCAGTTTTTTTTTAATTGCCAAGTAGTATTCTGTTGTATAGCTATATGCAATTTGTTGATGGTTTTTAATTTTTGGCTACTATGAATAGAACTGGTAGAAACACTCAGGTATAAGGCTTTCTGTGGACATAATGTGCATTTTGTTTTAGTATCAGTATCCTCTTTAATAATTGCAATGCGGTATACAGGGCTGAAAAGGTTAGTGTCTCTTTATTTTTATAAAGAAATTTATAAATTTTAAAAATTATGTAAGGTAACGATGCTTATTTTTGATCCCTCATCTATTAAATGGGGCTAATATCTGCCCTGTTTATATTATATGTGAAAATAGTTGTAAACTTACAAAGGTCCATACAGGTCATTAATTAGCAGGGTGTCAGCCCGAAACGTAATACAATTATTATTATAATGTTTCAAGGGTGTTTAATCTATTGACATTAGATTTCAGCCTGAGCCTAGTTAAAAGATTCTTCTATTTTTCTTCTTTTTTAGAAGCAGATGAAGGAGCTTTTATTATTGTCAAAGGAAAGTAATCAGAGCAACCACACTATTTGGTTTGGACACTATACAACGTTTACTATTCTTTCTCCATCACCAGGAGTTCGGTCAATAATGAGGTGAGGCAGGCTTCTAAAATTGAAATTAATTGTTTTTAATTATTTTATATTTCTCTACCTATCTTGCTTTTCTGAAGAAATATTTGTATGAGTTTGGCACCATAAGTTATTTTTATTCATTATTCCATTTATTTTTTTCACTGGTTAGTTCAGGTATAGCTTATATGTGTGGGCACCTCCATACACTTGGTGGACTGATGCCTGTTTTGCACACTCGCCACTACGAGGGCACTTTGGAACTTGAGGTGGCAGACTGGAAGAACAACAGAAGGTAAGGGGTAATTACCCCACAGAATAAAACTTACACGTTAACACATTATGGACCAGTAGTCTTATTGCTAGCTTTACCCAGTGGCCAGATAAGTTTCTATTGAACCAGTACAAAAAACATTTTACATAAATGTTAAAGGCATGCTTTAAAAGTATATACCCACTGCATTTTGAAGTTATTTATTACATGTTTTTACAAGCTAATATATTTTTTAAAGTATGATACTTTGTAAAACACTGTGTAATATGAAGCTAGAATTCTCATGATCCCTCCAATGTGTTAAGTTTACTAAAGCAATAATAGCTTTCTTATTGCTATTGTGGGTAATCCCAATTAAGGAAAAACTTGTGATATTTCTGTTTTTGAAGTAATTTGTGTACCTGGCAATCTTTGTTGTGCAGGAACTTTTTACAGTAGTTATGTTTGCTATCACTATGTTATATTGGATTTTCAAGACACAGCCATTAGGAAATAGTTCTCAAAGTTTAGTATGCATAAGAATTATGGAGGATCTTATTTAAATACTAGAGGTGCACGGGGGTAGGGGGGCTCCCTCAGCCCAGCCTGCACCCTTTCCAATCCAGGATCCCTCTCACTATTTGGGACCTCTGGCTCTTAACCGCTCACCTGCCTGCCTGCCTGATCGCCCCTAACCACTCTGCCTGTCTACCTGATTGCCTCTAACTGCTCTCCCTGCCAGCCTGATCGCCTCTAACTGCTCTCTCCTGCTGGCCTGATCACCCCTAACTGCTCCCCTGCCAGCCTAATTGCCCCTAACCCTCCTCTTCTCAGCCCCTGCCACTGTGGCTTTGTCCAGAAGGACGACTGGAAGATGTCTGGTCAAATCAGTCTAATTAGCATATTACCCTTTTATTAGTATAGATTAGTTAGTTCAGACAGCCATAACAAAATATCATAAATTTGTGTGGCTTAAACAACAGAATATATTTTTCTCAGTTTTGGAGGCTGGAATTTGGGGTCAGGGTACCAGCATAGCATCTTCCCATACACCAGAAAGTAATGGATTGATTGCCAATCACAGCACATGCCCAGGTTGTAGATTAAATACTCAATCCAGTGAGTGCAGGAAACAATGGAACAATGTTTCTCTCTTCCTCCTCTCTCTGAGATCAATTAAAATGAATGATAAATAATATTCTCTAAGTATGGTTTTAACAGGAAATACATTAGTGATTTATGAAGTGAAAAACTTATTATAACATATACAGCATGGCCCCATTTAAAAAATATTTATTGATTTTCCCTGATCGCCGGGTCACCTCCCATCCCCGAGGGCTCCTGGACTGTGAGAGGGAGCAGGCCAGGCTGAAGGACTCCCCACTCCCCCTACCTTCAGTGCGTGAATTTTCATACACCGGGACTCTAGTAAATAAATAAAAGCTGTTGTGCAAAAATATGTTACTTAAAAAATAAATCCTATGTAATAAAAGGCTAATATGCAAATTGACTGAATGGTGGAATGACCAGTTGCTATGACACACACTGACCACCAGGGAAAAGATGCTCCCACAGAGGGAGCGCTGCTCAGCCAGAAGCTGAGTTCACACTGGTGGCAGTGGTGGGAGCCTTTCCTGCCTCCACTAAGGATGACCGACTGCCAGCGTAGGCCTGCTCCCCAGACTGTGAGAGGGTGCAGAAGTGGACCAAACTTTGAGAAACACTAGGACCAGCCCTGGTGGGGTAGCTCAATTGGTTAGAGCATCATCTCGATATGCCAAGGTTGTGGATTCGATCTCCAATCAAGGTACATACAAAAAGCGACCAATGTGCGGGCACATCCCCAATAGGGGCTGAACAAGAGGCTGCTGATCGATGATTCTCTCTCATCGATGTTTCTAACTCTATCCCTCTCTCTTTCTCTCTGTGAAAAATCAATAAAATATATTTTTAAAAAAAGCAACCAATAAATACATAAAAATAATAAAATTTTAAGAGAAAAAGAAAAACACTATGACTAGAAATATGTCATTTTTTTCTTTTGAACTTTAAATTTTTTTAATATATGTATTTTTTATTGATTTCAGAGTAAAAGAAAGGGAGAGAGAGAAACATCAATGATGAGAAAGAATCATTGATTGGCTACCTTCTGCACGCCACACACTGGGAGCCTCAACCCAGGCATGTGCCCTGACCGGGAATTGAACTGTGACCTCCTGGTTCATAGACAATACTCAACTACTGAACTATGCCGGCTGGGCTTCAATTTAATTATTAATTTTTATTTTTAATTGAGTTTTAGAGAGAGAGGAAAGGAGAGAGAGAAACATCTGTGTGAGAGCAAAACAGATTAGCTGCCTCCTGTAAACCCCCTACCTGGGATTAAGCCCGAAATACCGGCTTGTGTTCTGACCAAAAATTGAATGGGCAACCTTTCAGTGCATGGGCTAATGCCCAACCAATTGAGCCACATTGGCCAGGGCTCCCCTGAATTCTATATCCACATTTCCAGTCATTGCTACTAGAGTTAGTGATTTAAGTTCTTCAAGTAGATGATAATTGGTTTTGTTAAGGTTAATGTCTTCCTAAGAAGAAATATAACTTATCAAAAGCATACAGTATAATTAAACATAGAAAGAGAACTAAATATATTATAACTTTGATAATAACATTTAAGTGCACTAGTTTAAGTATCGATGATTATCACTTCATTGTTTAACTATTATCAATTGCTGTTTATTAAGACTCAGTGCTCTGCAGCTATTAGGTACCCAATAAATATTAGCTGAGCTGAATATGTTTTCTTTTCATTTTTTAATATCTCCATTAATTAAAAAGCAGCTTTACATTGTAGACGAGAGGCCTGGTGCACATAATTTATGCACGGGAGAGGGGGGTGTCCCTTAGCTCAGCCTGTACCATCTCCAATCTGGGACCCTTCAAGAGATGTCCGACTACCTGTTTAGGCCCGATCCCCTGGGCCTACACAGGCAGTCGGATACCCCTCTCACAATCCAGGACTGCTGGCTCTCAACCACTCGCCTGCCTGCCTGCCTGCCTGCCTAATTGCCCCTAACTGCCCTTCTCTGCCAGCAAGGTCACCCCTAACTGCCCTCCCCTGCTGGCCTGATCGTCCCTAACTACCCTCCCCTGTGGCCCCGTTGCCTCCAACTGTCCTCCACTCCCCTGCTGGCTTAGTCACCCCTAACTGCCCTCCCTTGCCAACCTGGTTGCCCTTAACTGCCCTCCCTTGCAGGCCTGGTCCCCCCAACTGCCCTCCCCTGTAGGCTTTGTCCCTTCCAACTGTCCTCCCCTGCTGGCCTGATTGCCCCCAACTGCCTTCCTCTACCAGCCATCTTGTGGTGGCCATCTTGAATCTATATTGGGGCAGCCATCTTTGACCACATGGAGGTAGCCATCTTATGCGTTGGAATGATGATCAATTTGCATATTACTTTTTTATTAGATAGGATGGTACTTACTCATTTTAGTTGTTTTTTGTAGAATCTGGGTAAAAGCTACGCTTGAAGCCTGTAATTAGTTGGCTACTGGCTACTATAATTACTTTGAGTCTTATAAGACCTGTCTTTTCGTGACTGAAAGGCTGTGGGCTGGGCTGGAATTGCTTTGTTCCTAACCCTTGATCGGGCTCTTTATTTAAGTGATATTAATTATGAAACCTTTTTCTCCTCTTCCCACCTGCTCTCCTGTGTTTTAACCCTGGAGTTTTATTGAAAGTATCTAACTTTTACCTGCCCTTACTAGACATTTGAGTTGTACTAGTAAAATAGTTTTTAAAAATAGTATATTAATAATATTAGGCCAGGCTTTGTTGTAGAAGCAAATAAACGTGTGACTTAACACAACAGATGTCTATTTTTTCATTTATATAAAGCTGGTATGAGTCAGGCAACTCTCTTCTAGAGGGTGACAGGGATTCAGACTTCCTCCATCTTAAAAGGCCACTATTTTAACACCTCAGTTCTAGTACTTTGGACCAGAAGTGTGATATGTGCCACTTCTGTTCACAGCCCATTGGTCAGAACTACTCACATGGTCCCAACCTAATGCCAGGGAGACTGGGAAATGCAAGGGAGCACATGAGTATTTGGTGAACACTCTTGTTTCTACCATGGTCAATTATTTCTCAGTTCTAAAAGTTATAAAATGCAAAACTGGTTATTCCTTTTTCTTGTTGTTGTTGTTAATCTTTACTCGAGGATATTTTTTCATTGATTTTTAGAGAGAGTAGAAGGGAGAGAGACTAAGAGAGAGAAACATCTATGTGAGAGAGACACATCGATTGCTTGCCCCCTGTACTCACCCCAACCTGGGGCTGGGGATTGGGCCTGCAACTAAGACACATGCCCTTGACTAGAATTGAACTACTCGGGACTCTTTGGTCCATGGGTCGGTGCTCTATCCATTGAAACAAACCAGCTAGGGCAAAACTGATTATTCTATAACTTCCATTGTGCATTTAGGAAATCAAGACAACTTAATTTAAAAAAAAATATATATATGTATATTTATATATATATATTTTATTGATTTTTTGCAGAGAGGAAGAGAGAAGGATAGAGAGTTAGAAACATCGATGAGAGAGAGTCATCGATCAGCTGCCTCTTGCACACCCCCTAATGGGGATGTACCCGCAACCAAGGTACATGCCCTTGACCGGAATCGAACCTGGGACCCCTTAGTCTGCAAACCGATGCTTTATCCATTGAGCCAAACCAGTTTCGGCAAGACAGCTTAACTTTTGTTAATTTCTTTGAAATTATAGCAATAAAGATTTAAAAGATAAGTGAAAGGTTTCTGATTATGTTTATTTTAATATTTTATGTAGCATTGTTGATGGTGTGAAGAATGTCAGATATTAGGCTTAAGATGAATATCTCAGGTTCAAAATGAATTAATTCAACAAGCATTTATTAAAAAATCATTTAAAAATTAAAGAGTGTATGCTATCAAGGCGTAGTTAAATTCATTGCTTCAGTCAAATCCCAGTTGTGACAAATGTGAAGTATAAAATGATAGAGGCCAGAGAAGGAGACAAAAACAATATTGTTAACTCTGCATTCAAATTCATGATCTCAAGATGTATATTTTTATATTTTTACATTTGTTCTGTATATTTCATGCCTCTTAAAATGTGAAGTGACTAATTGCCTTATCGTCCTCTGTTCTCTAGGTACCGCATCTTTGCTTTTGATCATGACCTGTTTAGCTTTTCAGATTTGATCTTTGACGAGTGGCCTGTGGTCCTCATCACCAATCCTAAGTCTCTCCTCTATAGTTCTCCTCAATATGAACCACTAGAAAGAATCCTTCACTCAACACACATCAGGTTTGTAGAAAAATTTCAGAATTTTCTTTCAGTTTGATATTGATGGAGAATAAATCATTGTGACTGCATTCCCATGTACAGCTATGAGATGTCCTACTTTAGTTGTCTCAACAATCTAAACATTATGTAAAGACTAGAGGCCCGGTACATGGGTGGGGTCCCTAGGTCTGGCCAGCGATCAGGACCGATTAGGGCCTGCTGGCCAGGGGGAGGGACAGGGCATGGGAGTTTGGCCACCAGCCCAGAGGAGGGAGCCATGGGAAAGGGGCCACATCCACTGCCACCCATCCCGGCCCCCTGTCCCAGCCTGGGGCCCAGGGAGAAGGCAATAGGTCGCTGGGCAAGGCATGGAAGGAATAGATGCTGCTACCCCGCCACCTTGTGATTCCCTGCCTCCCCCACTCCTGTTTCCTTTGCCACTGCATTGCCACTGTGGCGGCTGGGTGGTGGGCCAGTCAGGGCCTGCCAGTTGGGGGAAGGGATGGGGTGTAGGAGGTTGGCCGCCAGCCCCAAGGAGTGAGCTGGCCCTCGGCCCCTCTGGGAAAGGGACTGCATCTGCCGCCACCACCCCCAGTTCCCATCCTAGCTTAGGGCCCGAAGGCCCTGGGGGTTGGGAGAGGAGGCGATGGTCACCAGGCCAGGTGGAAGGAATGGATACCAGATACCAACGCCACTCCGGCAGTGGGAGGTTGGCTGTGGGAGCGCACTGACCAGCAGAGGGCAGCTACTGTGTTGATCTTCTTTTTCCTGGTGGTCAGTACACATCATAGCAACTGGTCAGCCAGTCTTTTCAGTGGTTCTGGTTGCTTAGGCTTTTATATATATACTAGAGCCTGGTGCACAAAATTCGTGCACTCCAGGGGGTGGTCCCCAGCCTGGCCTGTGCCCTGTCACAGTGCGGAATCCCCGAGATCCATCACCCCAAAGAGGTAGGCCCCGCCTACCCATCCAGGGCTCCTCGATGGATTGCCCCAAAGAGGTAGGCTGGAGGCGGGGGTCCCACCTTCATGCCGTGCAGAGCCAGGAGGCAGGACCCCAGGCAGGCCTCACCAGGAGGCGGTGAGACTACCAGGCAGGCTTCGTGCCTCACACGCAGCATCAAGTCCAGCCCACCCACCTGTGTGCGCCTGCTGTGTGAGCAGTCATCTTGTGATGGCGTGAGGGCATCAAGGCATGACAACTACTTAGGCTTTTATTAGTAAGGATACTAGAGAGGGGTCCCTCAGTCCGCCTCCCCCCTCTCACAGTCCGGAGCCCTCAGGGGGAGCGGGCCTAAGCTGCAGTCTGGCCTCCTTCTGTGGGAGGCTACGGGCTGATCACAGGCAGAGCCACTCCCATTTACCCTGCTGCTGCTACTGCCAGCCACAGTGGCTGCGAGGCCTGAGCCCCGAGCCTCGCAGCCTCTGGGGCTCACGGCAGCCTGAGCCCACGGTTTCCATGAGTCCATGGCTACTGAGCCCTGGATCTCATAGCTGCCTGAGCCCACAGCTGCTGTGAGCCTGAGGCTGCCCTGAGCCTCAGGCCTAGCTATCACCTGAGCCCACAGCTGCCTGAGCCCACAGTTGCCTAAACCCTGGGCCCCACAACCGCTGTGGCTTTGTCTGAATGGACATCTGGATGGATGTCCACCCTAATTAGTATATTACCCTTTTAATAGTATACATAGACCAATTGGTTACTGTTTCATTCCAATTCAGTTAAAAATATATTTTATCCCTGGCCAGTGTGGATCAGTTGGGTGGAGTGTCATATATATATATATATGTGTGTGTGTGTGTGTGTGTGTGTATATATATATATATATATATATATATATATATATATATCATATATTTACTAGTATGCAGCTGAAAGTTTAAAAACTATCCAGAAATCCATAATTCTACCATTATACTTTTGTGTATTTTATCCCACCTTTTTATCTGCATGTTGTTATATTGTTATAATTATAATACAGATATTCTAGGGTTATTCTAAGATATTCCTTTGTATACTACTTAAAACAGTTATATTTTATATAATTTTTTTTTTCATTTTTCTACATAGCCTTCTAAAAAAGAAAAAGCTATATAAACCTTATGGAATTAAATATTTTGTTGCCATATGAATGTAACTGTGAATTAAAGAGACTTATGAAACCTTTCTCAAACATAAAGGCACTCTTATAAATATATGTAGTTTATTTTTAAGCATATTTTTATTGGTTTCAGAGAGAAAGGAAGAGTGAGAAAGATAGAGACATCAATGATGAGAGAGAATCATTGATTGGCTGCCTCTTGCATGCCCCCTACTGGGGATTGAGCCTGTATCTTGGGCATGTGCCCTTGACTGGAATCGATCCCTGGACCCCTAATTCTGCAGGCTGATGCCCTATCCACTGAGCCAAACCAGTTAAGGTAATATATGTACTTTATGTTTTTTTAAATTTTGTTTTGAAGAGTAATACAGCTACTACCTTTGGAAAATAGGGTGTGGGAATTTATGTATATCCCTACCCTTCGCCAATAGAACTGTTATTAATGATTTTGAGTTTCCCTTAGTAGGCATTCTCTTTTAGGCATGTTTTTATTTTATTTTTTTATTTTTTAAGGGTATTTTTTTATATATATATATTTTATTGATTTTGTACAGAGAGGAAGGGAGAGAGATACAGAGTTAGAAACATCGATGAGAGAGAGTCGTCGATCAGCTGCCTCTTGCACACCCCTACTGGGGATATGCCCACAACCAAGGTACATGCCCTTGACTGGAATTGAACCTGGGACCCTTCAGTCCCCAAGCCAACGCTCTATCCATTGAGCCAAACCGGTTTTGGCTAGGCATGTTTTTATATAGTTATAATAATAGAGCACCATCTATTCTTTTTTTAAAAATGTATTGGGCTGCTGAAACCGGTTTGGCTCAGTGGTAGAGCGTCGGTCTGCGGACTGAAAGGTCCCAGGTTCGATTCCGGTCAAGGGCATGTACCTTGGTTGCAGGCACATCCCCGATAGGGGGTGTGCAAAAGGCAGCTGGTCGATGTTCCTCTCTCATCAACGTTTCTAGCTGTCTATCTCTCTCCCTTCCTCTCTGTAAAAAATAAATTAAATATTTTAAAAAATGTACTGGGTTGACATATCCTATCTAATAAAAGGGTAATATGTGAATTAACCATCATTCCATTACACCCACCAGCCACGCCCACTAGCCAATCAGAGCAAGTATGCAAATTAACCCCAATCAAGATGGCTGCAGCCACAGAGAGTAGGAGGGATGCTTGGGTTTCCTTGGCAATGGAGGAAGCTAAGCTTTTGACATACCCTGGCAGGCCCAGGCCTCCACTCAAGGCTACCAAGTTTCAATTATAGAAGATAAGTAAATTCTAGATACTAGGGCCTCCACTTGGGTTGCCAGGGGGTGTGGCTGGTCTGCAAACCACCACAGGCCCCTCACCCAGGCTGCCCCATGCCCCAAAGAAATCCCCTGATCTGGGACACCCTTCAGGAAAAACCAGCTGTCTCCCACCCATGCACCAGGCCTCTATTCTATCTAAAGTAATATGCAGATTGACCATCACTCCAACACACAAGATGGCTGCCTCCATGTGGACACAAGATGGCTACCACAAGATGGCCATCAGGGGAGGGAAGTTGGGAGGGATCAGGCCAGCAAGGGAGGGCAGTTGGGGGCGATCAACCCTGCAGAGGAGGACAGTTAAGGTTGAGCAGGCCAGCAGAGGAGGGAAGTTGGGGGCAAACAGGCTGGCTGGGGAGCAGTTAGACACCAATCAGTCTGGCATGGGAATGATTAGGGGTGATCAGGCTGGCAAGCAGAAGCAGTTAGAGGCAATCAGGAAGGCAGGCAGGCAAGCATTTGGGAGCCAGCAGTCCTGGATTGTGAGAGGGATCCCAGATTGGAGAGGGTGCAGGCTGGGCTGAGAGATCTCCCCTCCCCCATGCACAAATTTCATGCATCGGGCCTCTAGTATATATATAAAAGCCTAAGCAACCTTTACAACTGGTTGCTATGATCTGCACTGACCACCAGAGGACAGATGCTTAATGCAGAAGCTTCCCCCTGGTGGTCATTGCTCTCCCACAGCTAAACTCCCATGGCCATCCAGCCTCCCGTAGTCCCTCCTCTCAGCTGGCTGGCCCCGATAAGCCTCAATGGGGACTAGGTGAGATGGACCCCAAGGCCCTGATCACCGGCCAGGCTGAGGGATCCCACCTGTGCACAAATTCCTACACTAGGCCTCTAGTTCGTTAATAAAAGTATACAGGTTTCAGGTATTCAATTCTACAATACATCATCTGTATATTGTATTATGTGTTGACCACCCCAAGTCAAGTGTTCTTTTGGGCCCAGTCTATTCTAATTCCTATATTTTTCTTTCAACAGATAAAATATATCACAATTTATCTAACCATTTTTCTATCTGAACTTTTAGATTTTTTCCCCCAATTTGGAGATAAGCCATCTGATGCATACAGTCTTTCTTCATTTAAGTAATTCATTTAGTGTTCTAGAAATGGGATTCTAAGTGAGTTTGAATTCCCATATGACTATTGATAAAGATTGCCCAATTACATTTTTTGTAACTAAAAATCACTATGTTTTTTAAATTGTAGTAATATATACATACATAAAATTTGCCATTTTAATGATTTTTAGGTGTTAAAATTTAAGTGTTATATTCAGTGGCATTAAGTACATTCATATTGCTGTACAACTGTCACCACCACCCATCACCAGAACTTGCATCTTCCAAAACTGAAACTCTTTACTCATCTACACTAATAAAAGACAAACATGCAAATAACCATCACTCTGCCACGCCCACCAGCCAATCAGGTGCGAGTATGCAAATTAATCCAACCAAAATGGTGGCTGGCTACAGAGCTGGAACAATTATAGAAGATAAATATATCCCAACAAAATATGGTGGCAGCCACGGAGTTGGACCAAGCAGGAGGCTTATGTTGCCCCAGCAATGGAGGGAGCCAAGCTTCCCACCCACCCTGGCCTCTGCTCAAGACTACAAAGTTTTAATTATAGAAGATAGATAAATCCTAGATACTTGCTTCCAGCCAGCCCTGGCCTCCGCTTAAGGAGACACTGAAAAAATAAATAAATAAAAAGAATAAAGGGAGGGGTTGGGACCTTGGGTCGCTAGGGGGTGATCAGGCCAGGATGGGATGGCAGGGGCCATTGGAGGTAAGCAGACCAGCAAGGGGGCCAGTTGGGTCAGTTGGAGGTGTTCAGGACAGCAGTGGGGGGAGAAGTTTGCAGTGAGCAGGCTAGCAGGAGGGCAGTTGGGGGTTTGCAGGCCAGCAGGGGGTCAGTTGGGGGTGATCAGGCTGGCAGAGGGCATTTGGGGGAGAGCACACCGGTGGCGGGGGACATTTGGGAGCAAGAAGGCTGGCAGGCAGAGTGGTTAGGGACAATCAGGCAGGCAGGCAGACAGGTGAGCAGCTACAGCCAGCAGTCTTGAATTGTGAGAGGGATGTCTAACTGCCAGTTTAGGTTTGATCCCTGTAAACTGGCAGTAGGACATCCTTCGAGGGGTCCCAGATTGGTGAGGGTGTAGGCCAGGCTGAGGAACAACCCTATCCCGCCCCCCTCCTGTGTATGAATTTTGTGCACTGGGCCAAGTGTTGAACAATAACTCTCTTATTACTACCTCCCTGTAGCACCTGGCAATCAACATTCTACTGTCTATCTCTATGAATTTGACTATTCTAGGTACCTCATATAAGTAGAATTCTCTGTCCTTAGCATACTGTGTTTAAGGTTCATAGATGTTGTAGCATGTTTCAGAAATTCCTTCCTTCTCAATCCCAAATAATATTTCATTGTATGGATATGTTACATTTTATTTACCAATTCATCCATAAATAAATACTTGTGCTTCCATTTTTGGGCAACTGTGAGCAATGCTTCTATAGCCTGAGTACAAATATCTGTTCAAAATCCTGCATTCAAAATTGTGCCGCTATTTTTAAAGGTCTAATTTGGGGGGGGGGGGGGGGTATATATATATATCCAGATGTGGAATTGCTGGATTATATTGTAATTATATGTTTAGTTTTTCGAGGAACCACCATACTGTTTTCCATAGTGGCCTTACCACTTCACATTCCCACCATCAGTGAATAAGGTACCCAATTACTTTTAAACGGGTACTAATTTATGTTATTAGATATTGTACTTTAAAAAAGATTTACTACTTAATCTGGGAAAAATGGTATCAAGCTGTTTTAAGATATGTTTTTATCACTAGTTAAGTAAAACATACATTTCTCAGTCAGTTTTCTTTTTATAGGAGCTGGATAGCAGATTTAGGCATTATATTCTCTGGGGCCTGGTAACCTTAGCCTTATTTGTAACATTGCTTCTTTAGTGTAGATAAAAGAACCAAATAAGTGAATGGGAACCAAATAAGAAGATGGTAGGCTTGACATTAGATGAACAGATGTCTAATTTACATTCTTTTCCTATGAGAAAAACTAGGACTTCAGGAGTTTGTTCAGAAAGAACTTGGGGTCTACTCCAAAATATACTCCAGAAACTACTCCAGAATAGTTTCTAATTTCTCACCAGTTCAGGTTTGCTGAATTTTGCAACTCGAAAAGCCACCATTCGGAAAGAAACCAAATTATATGACTAGTGGTCCCTATTCTTTTGTACCATGTTGTACCTACAATTGTACCATGTCATGATTCTGCCTATACTTTCATCTTTTCAGATTATTTAGGTTATTCTCCTTTATAAAAACAATGACAAATACCTAAAACCTGTTTTATATATGCTTTCATTTCAGAGTCTTGGCCTTTTCCTCATCCTCCATTACTTCTGTCACAGTTAAGATCGATGGAGTTTTTTTAGGGGAAGCTACTCATTTGTCTGGTCCTATTTTCACACTGAAGTGGAACCCAAGAAACTACATTAATGGTACACATAATATAGAAGTAATTGTCCAGGTAAGTTAGTAATTTTCAATTCACTATATAAATGTGATTAGACTGTAACCACTCTAAACTCCAACTTGGGAGACAGAGGTTGCAGACAGTTGGTAAAAATGAAACTAAGTTTAATAAAAATTTGGATGCATTGGATTTGTATGTCCACTTTTGAAAAGCATCTATTAGGTCCTTTGCCAGTTTTTTTTATTGGATTGCTTATCTTCCTTTTGTTAAGTTGTATGAGTTTCCTATAAATGTTGTAGATTAAACCCTTATTAGATGTAACATTGGTAAATGTATTCTTCCATGCAGTGGTGGTCTTTCTTGTTGTTTTGTTGATGGTTTCTTTTGCTGTGCAGAAGCCTTTTATTTTGAAGTCCCATTTGCTTATTTTCTCTTTAATTTCCATTGTCCTAGGACAGTCAGCAAACTCATTAATCAACAGAGCCAAATATCAACAGTACAACAATTGAAATTTCTTTTTTGAGAGCCAAATTTTTTAAACTTAAACTTCTTCTAACACCACTTCTTCAAAATAGACTTACCCAAGCCATGGTATTTTGTGGAAGAGCCACACTCAAGGGGCCAAAGAGCCACATGTGGCTTGCAAACCGCAGTTTGCTGACCACGGTCCTAGGAGATATATCTACAGGATAAAGTCTTAATTCTTCCCACATCTCCCTTTTCTAAACCAGTGTTCAGAATAATGAATTGCTTCTTTAGCATCTGCCAAAGATAACCATATGAGTCTTCTAGTTTTAGTATCATTATGAATCTAACATTTTAAAAATCATATGTAGCATGTTTTAATCCATTGCATTTATTCTTTTTGATGTTCAAATTGTTCCATCTTTGGCTAGTGGGAAAATCTCCAAATTGGTCACTAAGTCCTTTGATACAATCCTAGTAGTCTTCGTTAGGTTTTTTTTTTGCTTTCCCATATGAATTTCTTATGCATTTCTTACTCAAGAACTGGAATCAGCCATTTTTCTAAAGAGCACTGGTTCCTTATAGTGAAAAATTATACTTTGAGACTACAATTGGCACTAGCCCAGCTAGTTCACTGCTATTGATTGGGTTTGTTGTTATTTCTAGGCCTTTTCAGTGAACATAGGGAAATATAGATTTTTTTTTTTAAAAAAGAAAAGATATTGTGAGAACATGGTGACATTTCCAATTTAAATATTACAAGGTTCTAAAGATATTTCCAATTTAGATATAGATTTACAAGGTTTTATGTAAAAGTGCTTGTAGGAAGAATAAAAAATAAATGAAAAAAAAAAGTAGCATGAGAGTTTCTTTGCTCTGCTTCTAACTAGGATTCTGCTGGAAGAAGTAAGAGTGTTCACCACATATTTTCTCTTCAAGAGGATAATCAGCTCAGATTTGACCCTCTAGTATCATTTATTCTTCTTACAGATCACTGCACGGTGGTGAGTAAATTCAACCTAATGATTTGTGTGTTTTTAGTGGGTTTGGTAGGTTCAAAATCATATATAATTATGTGATGAGAAAGCTGAACCTTATAAAATGAAAAGTTTAGTTATTCATCTAGAACAGTGTTAACCAAAGTGTGGTACGCATACCCCCACGGGTACGGGAGAGTTTGGTGGGGGTACGCGTTGCACCGAAGTTTGGTGGGGATATGCACTGCACCGTGCTTAGCTGCGCCTAATTCTACGTTCTCATGAGAATGAGGGGTACTCAGCGTTAAGAAAATTATAGAAGGGGTACACATATGTCAAAAGTTTGGGAAACACTGATCTAGAAGAATAAAATGCTTTTAAGTTGAAAGGCATAGACAAGTAATTCCTGTTTTGGGATCTGTCTCTAACCAATGCCATTAAGCCAGGATAAAGGAATTATAGGGACTGTGTGTCCTACACAACAAACAATATGTGCTAAATGTAGAAAACTTGTAAATTTTAGAAATAAAGTGAAACCATTCCAATGTCATTCTTTGATCACAGTACCCATTATAGGCATTGTATTTGTCATTATGATACTGTTTTCTCTCATATACATTTGTATATGAGTTTTTAGTATAAAATGGTAAGTAAACTTTTAATTCTCTTTTGCTGTCTGATTTTTTCCCATGGAGGAATTTGTTTTGACTATTATTTTATATCAGTTTATATTATTTAATAACATGATGTTATTGACTGCATTATATTGTCATAGATACACCTTAAGCATTTCCCTATTGCTGGGTGTTTGTTTTCAGTTTTCCCCTCTTCCATATAAATACTGCTGTATCTAAGTGTTTGCATCTACTAGTTTTGGGGGATAAATTCCTAGAGCTGAATTGCTAAGTGATAGAGTTGACACATTATTCTATATATTTTACTTACTTATTATATAAATACATACATTACTTATTATTTATTATATTCATTGTTTAGTTTGTTTGTTTGTTTGTTTTATCTATCCTCCTTTAGTAAGACATAAGCCCTATGAAGACAGGAATCTTTATCTGGTATGCCTAACACCAAGTAGGCCCTCAATAAAGATTTTTTGAGCAAAGAAATGGGTATTTATTTATTTATTTATTTTTTTAAAGGTTTTTTTTTTTTAAATATATTTTATTGATTTTTCACAGAGAGGAAGAGAGAAGGATAGAGAGCCAGAAACATCGATGAGAGAGAATCATTGATCAGCTGCCTCCTGCACACCCCCCACTGCGGATGTGCCCGCAACCAAGGTACATGCCCTTGCCCGGAATCGAACCTGGGACCTTTCAGTCCGCAGGCCAACGCTCTATCCACTGAGCCAAACCGGTCCCGGCATTTTTTAAAGTTTTTAATATACATTGTCAAATAGTGTTCTAGAGAAGCTGTGGCAATTTACACTCTATTTCCCTAAGATCTCATCTATCCTGGGTATTAACATAAAATGTTCAAAAGATATACACTATAATGTTAAGAAGAAAACTTAAACCTCCTTTAATTTCACCTCATACAGATTTAAACTGTGAATTGATTATTATTTTAATTGACGTTTATTACTTGTGTGATTGTGTTTTGTAAAACTATGACTACTGGGTATTTGTACCTAATTTTTACAAAATTTTGTGTCATTTTTTTCTCTTGGGGATTTTTAATAACTGCTTAGATAAGGATTTGGAAACTTTGATGTTCTATGAGTTATCTGGGAATATTAGTAAAAGGCATATTCTAATCAGTGGAGCTGAGGTGGGACCTGAGGTTCTGCATTCCTAACAAGCTCAAGATGATTCCATTGATGACCTTTGAGAAACAAGGATCTAAATTATATTTCTTTTCTGTGAGTTAATTACTAAGTGAATTACTTCTTGATGGAGAAAGCAAAAATAAAGTGCAGTCTCTGTTCACTCAGCTGCAGTGTACTGTGCATCGGTTTTATTCTTATACAAATTTAATCAATTTTTAAAATTAATTTCAAAGAGCAAGAGAGAGGGAGAGGGAGATGGAAACATCTCTGATGAGAGAATCATTGATCGGCTGCTCCTACACGCCCCCTGCTGAGGATCAAGTCCGAAACCCGGGCATGTGCCCTTGCCTGAAATCAAACCTGAAACCCTTCAGTCCGCAAGCCGACACTCTATCCACTGAGCCAAACTGGCTAGGACTATTCTTATACAAATTTAAATAAAACAAAGTATATTTCTCCTTTAACAATGAAAATGAACTATTGTAATTTGATCATTTTTTAAATAACTGTATAAAATTACTTGGTTTCAACATGGTGTAAGTATCTAAATTCTGAAAGAGTAATGCTGAGGAACTTATAATCTTTTTTTATTAGATCAGATGTTTTATTTTTTTTGGCTACATGTTTTTTTATATACATTATTTTCATTTTTGTTAATGAGGCCATTTTAAAAATCTAAACCAAAGCTGTGCCCATGTATCTATTTCACACTAACACCTATTTCTCTGCAGGCCCGGGTCCTTTTTGTGATGATTGTGCTGATCCAGCTCTTCATTCTTATTATTTATAGGCATCAAAGATATCTAGAACTTAAAGGTTAGTCACGGTTTCTTTCATTCTTAGAAGAATTTTTATTTTAAAGTAGTACATAATGTCCTCCCTATTGCCAAATAATAAATATGGATATAAATATAGTCTTTGCCTGAGCTCTGTGAGGTATACCCTTTCAACTACCCCATATTTTTCACAGTACTCTATCTTAAGAAACACACAACTCTTTAATTATTTGCTGCTACATGAGGCTCAACCAAAATGGGGGTGGGGGGTAGTTCAAAGTGGCCAAACACCTCTGCTAGACATTAAAGATCTTCCACAATCTGGTGTTACCTAACTAGCCATATTTTCACCCAGTTACCTGTATTTTATTCTAGGTAACTATTTCCTGTCCATGCCATGCACATTTCTGCTTTTGCACTTTTGCCCAGGTCATCATCTTTAATTTAAATTGTTTTCTTAAGTTTGTCTAATCTTAGCCTCGTTTAGGACTCATCTCAAAACCACTTTTTCCATACCATTTTTTCCAACCATTCCAGGTCATAATGAGCTCTTGTTTCTCTAAGTCCCTATAGTCCTTCCTGATGATTAATTGATACATAATTAGCCAATCACTTGGGGCTTTCATAACCACTTCAAATGTATATACATTATCTCCTCAGCCAACCTCTAAGTTCCTCAGTGCAGGAGCCTTTGTTTTCTACTTCTTGCTTGTTTCCCACAGCACCCAGCACTGAGTTGGTGCATAATAGACAGTAAATACTTGTTGAATTAAACTTTCCTTATCTTTTCTTGGCTTGGGTGAAATTACTGAGGTCAGGGACTGACTATGGGGGAGGGGAGAACTATAGTAATGACTAAACAGTAACATGGTTAGCTGAATAGTTAGTGCACTACTGAGTACTTTAATATATATATTAGAGGCCCAGTGCATGAAATTTGTACACAGGGCGGGGGTGTCCCTCAGCCCAGCCTGCACCTTCTCCAATTTGGGACCCCTTGGGGGATGTCCAACTGCCAATTGAGGCCCGATCCTGCAGGTGGTATCATGCCCTGACGATCAGGCCTCAACTGGCAGTCGGACATCCCTCTCACAATCTGGTAACTCTGGGCCTAACTGCTAGCCTGCCTGTCTGCCTGATTGCCCCTAACCACTTCTGCCTGCCAGCCTGATGATAACTAATTGATCACCCCTAATTGCCCTCCCCTGCCGGCCTGATCACTCCCTAACCACTCCCCTCCTGGCCTGATGACACCTAACTGCTCCCCTGCTGGCCTGATCACCCACAAACTGCCCTCCCCTGCCACGACCTGCCTCCTCCATGTGAGGCAACGGAGATACCGGGAATGGCCTCCTCCATGCTGCAAAGAGCCGTGGGATCCCCAGGCCTCACCCCACGGAGCGGCTGACGGGCCCTACCTCGGCTGTGTGCGCAGCCATCTTGTGACGGCCATCTTGTGACAACGTGAGGGCGTGATGCCACCTAGGTTATTATTAATATATATGTATATATATAGATATATTAAAACTTCTATGAAAAACTTCCAGAAACATTATTGCCCACATATATAATATACATAAATAAATATTTGAGGGAGGGCCCCAATCTATTCTGTAGGAATATCAATATCTTTGTGTATTATAGTTATGTAAAATTTACAACATTTTACCTGCATTATCTCACTTAATTCTTACAACAATCCTGTAAGGTAGGTATTATTGTCCCCATTTTAAACATTAGAAAACCAAAAACTGAAGAGGGTATATAGATTGTCCAAAATGTCATAACTAGTAAGAGACAGAGGAGAGACTTAAAATCCAAGTCTTCCAACCCCAGGTCAGGTTTTTTTTTTTTTTTTTTTAAGTCCTCACCCAAGGACATTGTTCCATTGATTTTTAGGGCGAGTGGAAGAGAGAGGGAAAGACCGAGAGGAATATTGATGTGAGAGAAACACATAGATTGGTTACCTCCTGCACACACCCTGACTAGGGAAGGAGCCTGCACCAGAGGTATGTGCCCTTGACCAGAATCAAATCTGGGACCCTTCGGTGGGCAGGCCAATGCTCTATCCACTGAACCAACTGGCGAGGGCCCCAGGTCAGTTCTTTCCTTTAAATAACACTTCTCAACTTTGACTACACTTCAGAATTCCACGAGGAACTTAAAATCTCAGTGTCTACACAGTACCACTTGCTACATCAGAGTCTCTGTAGGGATAGGACCTAAACATCAGTAGCTTTTGAAGCTCCTCTGCTTTCAATATGCAGTTAAGGCTGAGAAGCATGGCTACAGCAATATTTCTCAGTCAGGCTGCTTAGAATCACCTAGGTTGGTGCCTAAGCTCCCCCTCTCCCCTAGGTCAGTTAAGTCAGAACCTCTGGAGAGTGAGATCTGGGCCTGGATATTTTCTAAAAGTTCCCCCAGGCTATTCTAATGTGCAGCCAAAGGAGAGAATCATTGCTTGAAGTCTAAAGTATAGCTGCCTCTAAGGTTAAAGGATTATTTATTTATAAAAAATATCACCTATAATTACTATTATAGATGGATATGTATTAATACTTTGAGAAGCACCAGGCTAGGACAAGAAGGAAGCTGAGACAGGAATGAGTAGCAAGTATGTAATACACAAAGGGAGAAAAGTTATACCTTACCAGGTTTTGTAAGAAATTAACTGTCAGCAGGCTGAATGATGTTATATGCTAGCCTGTGAAGAAAGACATATTAATTAACTTACATCAGGCTGTCTTACCATTGGGATCAGCTCTTTAAATATTTTCCACCTCTAATATTTCTCAATGTGCACTGAGTTTCCTATCAGTCTTCCGCTGCCTGGTTTATGATCAGCCACATACTGGCTGGGGTTGAGGATCTGGAATACCTAAGTCTGTGGCCACAGAATGGACCTTCTCTATGTGAAGCCCTTACACGTGGCTTTTTGGTACTTTAAGAGATGCTCATTTGGAGAGCTTAATGGATCCCTTTCAGTTGGAGTAAGAAAGTAGCTGGGAGTTAAGAGTTGTATCACATATGGGAAAGGAATATTTGAACAGTTACTCATATTTAAGATGAGACTGGAGAAAAGTATTTCTTTGATATGCCTTTGATATATTTTCACATAGTTTTTGGAAGTTTGTACATTTGGACACTAAATCCCCTAGAAAACGAAGACTTGATCATCCTTAGAGTATAGATTTGTATTTCAAACACACATGAAGATAAAACAGTATCATCTTCTGGTGGATCTTTCTTTTTAAAAATATTTATTTATTTATTTATTTATTTATTTATTTATTTATTTATTTATAACAAAAATAGACATTTATTATCCGTTACAAAACGGCCTGCTTCCCTGGCAGAGGTCGAGGCGACCGCACCCTAAGGGTCTGGGCAGCCCCGTGCGTTTAACGGAGTTCAGCTGCGGCAGGAGCTCACCTACGACCTGTTACACGGAGCGTGTCCGGCCCTACAGACAGCCCCGAGCACCTCCGTCCGCGCCCTTTGTGCCCTTTATTTCATGGGACACATTGTGGACGGGCAGCTTTAACGTCACACAGGAGCCCTCGCGTGCTCAGTGCCCCTCGAGTGAGAATCCCCCGTGAGAGCGAGGAACGAGAGAAGGGCCGGCCCACGGGTTGCTGTGCGGCCCTGAGGCCCCGAAGGAGCCACGGCCCCGTCACGCTCCCGCCCCAGCAGTCCCTGCCGTCCGGTTACTGGTCAATAAATAAACGAAGTGAGTCTCCCACTGGAGCCGTCACTGCACAGCCCCGCCCACCGGGGCACTCCGGGAGCCCGCGAGGCTGGCACTTTAAAATCTTTATTATTGAAAGTATTATATATGTCTCCCATTTCCCCCCAGTAACCCCTTTTAGCCCTGCCCCTGGCTAGTATTTCTATATTGCTTTCATTTTAAAGTGTGTGTGTGTGTGTGTGTGTGTGTGTGTGTGTGTGTGTATGTGTATGTGTGGGTATGTGTGTGTGTACACACGCTCCTCACAACTATACCATTGCTTTGAATTTCTTCCCCTCTGCAATTCTAGGATTCCTGCCAACTTGTAAATTTAAAGTGATGTTATCTGTATAGTTACCATATAACAACAGATTTGCTGAATATATAGGATAGCCAATGGAAGTCTTCTAGAAAATGTTATAATAAAGAAATTAAACTTTGCATATGTTCATTGGATTTTTCAAATTTATTCTCTTTAGGACCTCCAGGATTTATAAATTTGACCTCATTTTCCCTTCATGTCTTGAGCAAAATAAACATCTTCTACTATTCTGTCTTGTTCCTGACTCTATATACAGTGCTGGGTAAGTCAATTAGGAAACCTGAGATTGTGAAGCAATCTGCCAAGGAATATATTGGGAATTTTGACAGTAGAGTCATTTAGGCTCTGTAGAGCATAACAAATGTCACATGGTTCTTTCCGAAGTCATTTCCTGGGATATGGTCTTGGGAAATAAAATTGTTTTTTAACATGTTTAAAGGACATTTAATTGATTTAAGAGTGCTAAGGAACACATTGCAGAATTTGTGTAGAAACTTAATAGGAGATAGTTCAGCTTAATTGCCTTCTCTTCAGAACAGCTTTTTGACTACCTTCAAGTTTTACCCTCTATTTCACAATGCTTTTTATTTCCTTCATTACTTTATCAGAATTTATGATAATCTTCTGTGTTCATCATCTCTTCCCTTATTAGACTATCCATTGATGTCTTTGTCTCTCTTGTTCACCTTTACGTCCACCACTAAGAACGAAGCCTAGCATATAGTTCAGTGAATAATTTATTTTTGTGTTGCTCCTAAAAACTCAGCTCAAGAAAAGAAACTGAGATGAGCAGTGAGATTAGTTATATCTGAAACTTCTGTTATATTAATTATTATACCCAGTACTTATAAAGTCATTTAGCCACATACGGAAGTAGAAAGCACTGAGATTTTTTTTTATTTAAAGCTTCTTACTAATGTACCTGAGTGACTAAAAATAGCTTAGTCTTTGTTTTACACTTTTATTTCACCAGAGAACACAAAGTAGTAAAATAAAAAATATGACACTTTGCCATCCTATATAATAAAGAGCTAATATAGTAATTGGACCAAACAGCAGAACAACCTCTGGGTGGACCGTCCGGATGACCTTGCGGACGAAGCTGGGCTGCAAGGGCTGGCCACGGCTGCGAGGGCCGAGCCCTTTGCACAGATTTCATGCACCGGGCCTCTAGACAATATAACAAGCCATAGCAGACCCCCCCCCCCCCCCCTTTGGAAGTCAGTTTTCTTGTTTGTTGAAGCTGGACACATGTCTTACATTGGAAGACAAAGCAAGTGATTTGGTTCCTGGCTGTAAAAAGAAAACATGAAGAGGGCAGAAGTTGCTTCAGTTTTAAAAGTTGAAACTTCAAGAGAAATACTTTTTTAGATTAATATGTATCTAATGGAGTTTTTATAATAATATATCTGAGAAAAGTACCTATGACTTTTTAAAAGTTGAAGTCTAGTCTTACCAGCAAATTATGGTATTGCATTTTAAGAAAGGATGTCTGACAGTTCCTTAATTACTCTTTACATATAGTAGTTCCGGCACCTGCATACTAAGAATGGGCAGTAAATAATAATAGGGAGGAGAGAAAAGTCATTCTGGTATTATAAGTGAAAAAATAAAGAAGCAAGTTAAACTCTGTACCTGTTCACCCTGCCTATGTAGTTTATTTATAAAGTAATGACTATGGAGCAGCAAGAAAAGGTAAAATATGTTCATTAATATTAGTAATAAAGAGAAGTACATTTTAGAAAAATGAAAGTGGTTGAAGTTTTATAGCTTAAAGGAGTAAATCTCAGTCATCTATTAGAAGATTAACTTTTGAGGAATACCTCTCTGCTTCTTAAAGGAAATGTAAATGAATTGTATTGAGGTAATTACTGCAACAGAATCTCCTAAGACTTGTGAATATACTCTTGTATGTTTCTGGAATTACAAGCTACATATCTTTTCCAGGTATAATATGTACTCAGACGATTTCATAATCCAGAGAAATATAAAGGAGCAAATAGTTAGTTAGCTAGGATATCGAGTGCAGCATAGAGATTAGCAAAGAAGAAAAGCTATGCAAATAAAATGCTTATAGATGACTAGTCTCATATTTATTTGTTATTCCTGTAAATGCATCTTGTGATGTATGTAATTAATGTCCCGGCTATTTAATCTTCCCTCTCCACTGCTTCTTCAGGACCATGGTTCATTGGTGAAATTACTAAAGGCAAAACGGGTGTCTGCTTTTCCTTCGGGATCTTTGTTGATGGGCGTTTCCTACAAGGCAGTTTAACGTTTGTGGTTGGAATTCTCCAGGTAAGAAGTCGGAAAAGCAACTTAAGAACATCTTGGCTTTGTCAGACTAATCGTGTAACACTGAAGAATTTAATTCAGAATCCTAAAGTAGATACCATAGAGCATGTTTCCTAATTTACTGGCAGGCAGTCTTTAATAACTGGTATTTTGTTTGCCTTTTGAGTACTTCCTAAGCTCTTCCACCATTCTCTTATAAACATTTAAAATACATTTTGGCAGACAGAGTTTATAAGAGGGGCAAGAGGTTTTGGTTTCTGTTGTTTGTTTCACTGTGCTTTTTATTGACAAAAATAATGAAATAAGGGAAGAATAAATGATAGACTTCTGCGTAAACCAAAATTGATTATGATAATGAAGCAGGAAAATATTTCAGAAGGCGGAAAGGAAAATGACACATACAAGAAAAGTATTCAGTTAACCACTGGAAGCTGTACTGGGCAAAAACTAGACTTGGGCTTCCTAGTCATGTCTTATTAGTTTACTTGTTTTGGAAACACTGATCCATTTGATTTACATTTTGATTGAAATACCTTTTAAAAAAAAAAAACACATGCAAACAAAACCCTGAACCATAGCAAATCTCTATAAATAGGTTTGAAAGATATTTACCTAACCATTTATTTTACTCACTTTAATGGGACTAATAGACAAAATCTGGAGTTTAATGATCTGGAGCTTTGGAAAAGATCCAAAAACATTGTTCAGAATGAGTTGGACAGCCTCATAACAGGGTAGTAAAACATGATCAGCAGGCCGAAACCAGTTTGGCTCAATGGATAGAGCATCGGCTTGGGGACTGAGAGGTCCCAGGTTCGATTCCGGTCAAGGGCATGTACCTTGGTTGCGGGCATATCCCCAGTAGGGGGTGTGCAAGAGGCAGCTGATCGATGACTCTCTCATTGATGTTTCTAACTCTCTATCTCTCTCCCTTCCTCTTTGTACAAAATCAATAAAAATATATTAAAAAAACAAAAAAAACAACAAACATGATCAGCAAGATTAGTGATAAACAAATAGGGAAGACCTCTGCAAACACTGGCCATAGGCCCAATCATTCTCTGTAAAGCAGCATTTCATATGTGTTTATGTCTGGGTCCAGTTCAATTATGTAAATGGAGGTTGTCTCTCAGGAGCACTCTTATAGCAAGTAAAACACGAACCTTACCAAAGGGTGGATATATATTCATACTTAAGTAAATAGTACATTAATGATGGATCTTAACTACATCTAGGCTCCTGAATCCCAAATCTATATCTCTGATTTAGACCCCTTCTCTGCACTCCAAATACCTATATAGCCAAGTGTCACTTCTCGTCTTCCCTTAGATATCTAACAAGCATCTCAATTTATAGTATACCTTTAATAGGACCTTTAATTTCTACCCCCAAACTTGTCTATCTCTAATTATTTCAATTTTACTAAATGGCTCCACAATTTACCCAGTTTCTTTAGGATGTATTTCTAGTCCTTCCTCTTCTCTCATATTCTATCTAGCAAGTAATACCTTGTTTGTTCTGTCATATATATATATATATATATATATATATATATATATATATATATATATATATATATATCTTGAATCCACCACTTCTCTCCATCTCATTATTACCACCCTAATTTAAGTCAAAACTATTTCTTGGCTGGGCTACTGAAGGCACCCTCTAAATGGTCTTCCCTCTGCTGCTTTTGCCTCTCTACTGTCAATTTGCCATACAGCATCCACTGTGGTCCTTTTAAAATCTTAACCCACTCACTTTGAAGCTTAAAACCCTTTAAGCCAGGAGTGGGGAACCTTTTTTCTGTCAAAGGCTATTTGGATATTTATAATACCATTCTGGGCCATGAATTATTATCACCTTAAAAATTAGCCTGGTATATTTGGTCAAACATTTAATTAACTCACCTCTAAGTCCTTGGCAGGGACAGACCAAATGATTTAACAGGCCTTACGTGGCCTGCAGGCTGGACATTCCCCACCCCTGCTTTAAGCAGAGCAGTGACATGGTCTGGGTCCTGCTGATTGCCCAGATTTCCACCTGGCTCATCATGTTTTAAGCCATTGGCCTTAAATAGGCCAAGAACTTAACTACCTCTGGGCTTTTCATTTGATTCTTCTGCCAGGAATTCACTTCCTCCCATTGGCTCATTCTTGTACTTCAGGCCTCAGAGAGCTCATCTGACAGTTACCCTCTTATTTTCTTGATAGAATTTCTCAAAATCTGTAATTAACGTATTTTTTTGCGGGGGTGGGGGCATTCCCCCTGCTAGAACACAAGCTTCTATGATGCATCTTTTTGACTTGTTTACCAGAATGTCCCAAGCCTACGTGTAGCACAGGGCCTGCCACATAATGGTACAGCAGCTGAATGTGAATTATAACTTAAATCTTCTAATTTGTATTCCAATAATCATCATGGTACTTCAAATAAAAATACAGAGATAAAAAAATGTTGATACCCAAGTAACCCCCTCCCTCTGCCAAAAAAGCATGTGTGTATGCATTTCCTCCTCAAACATTATCAAGGGCTTCAACATAAGTGAAATGCTACTTGCCTTTAAAATAAATAAAAGGATACAGGCCAAAATATACAACTAACCACAAGTCAGTTGTTGTGATATAAGCAAGTGTGATTGAAGCATAAAGAATAGAGAGTTAACCCCCAAGAGAGAAAGCAACATATTCTTAGGAGCAACCTAATATTATTAGTGAGCCCTGGCCCTGACTCCTCTGAGGGCTTGCTAGTAAACTAATGATTCTGTTCTCCTCTTTCCAGCTGGTATTTTTTAACATCCCCTTGATGGCTTACCTGTGTTGGAGCTTGCTGCAGCGGTGCTATGGTCACAACTTCAGGTCTCATCTCCAGCAAGGAAAATACTTGAAAATTATACCTATTTATCTTGTTGGGTTTCTGCTATCCATCTGGCAGATTTTTTCCTGCTACTATCTTCAGAGGTCATACGGCACTCTAGCTTTTTTCTTCTCCCCTCTGCGGACCTGGTTGACACTGTTGACACCTGTTCTCATTCATCGTGTATGGACACTGAACTCCAAGGAGCTTGTAACCTTTACAGTGCAATTAAAAAGCCACCTGAGCTCCTGAAGGCCATGTCCCACCATCTACCTCTGTCGCCCAGACCTCTACCCCAGCAGCAGGTGGAAGGCCAATATTGACGGGCAAGCTTCAGGGAGCTGCTGCTCCTTGGCTGCCCAGGAGTTGGGGTGATTACCCACTACTGGTTCCTGCAGAATGGACTTGCAGAGGAGTCTATAAATGATGCTGTGATTCCTTCCTTCCCCAAGAAGGCTAAGGATTGATTTACTTCTGTGAAGGGTAAAGGATAGGGGCTGGGTGTGTATGGGTGGATCTGTGGCCCAGTGTGTTTTTGGGGCTAACTCATGGAAAATACTGAGCACAATGTCTGGAACTCAGTAGCCAAGTGTGCCACTTTAGAGTTGGAGAACCAGTGTGAACTTGGCCCTGACCCTGAGTACCCTTGCACTATTTGCTCTCAGTCTGCTTTAACGCCAGGCTAGGGCCTCTGCTTCTTCAATGGGGGACAAGTCGGGGGGGGTGTGTTTCAATCAATCAAATAAATGAATGACAATAAGAAATAACTCCTCCCAGCTGCTGTGGCTCAGTCGGTTAGCCTGTGCACCAAGTAGTACTGGGTTGAATTTCCAGTTGGGCACCTGCCCGGGTTGCAGACTCCATTTCCAGTAGGGGGCATGCAGGAGGCAGCCAATGGATGTTTCTATCTGTCCCTTGCCCTTCCTCTCTCTCTAAAAAATAAAAAATAAAATCAATAGAAACATTTTTTTAAAATGTCAATACCCTGTCCAGTATAGCTCAATGGTTGAGTGTGGACGTAGACCTATGAACCAGGAGGTCACCGTTTGATTCCCGGTCACTCAGGGCACAAGCCAGAGTTGCAGGCTCCATCCACAGTGGGAGGGTGTGCAGGAGGCAGCCGATCAAAGATTCTCATTAATGTTTATCCCTCTCCCCTCCTCTCTGAAATAAAAAAGAAAGAACTCGGCGGGGGCGGGCCATGGGAGGCGTGGCCTGTCTACGGGGCGGGGCGGGCGGCTTGTTGCCGGAAGGGACCGGCTCTGTGACGTCCGGAAGTGGAGCGGCCCCGAGCGGCTCCGGCAGCTCCCGGCGTTCTGTCCGCAGGCCGCGGCGTCTGCTGAGATGGCGAGCGCTGCGGCCCCCGCGGCGCCCACCCCGGCTCCGCCGCTGGAGCAGCTCCGGCATTTAGCCGGGGATCTGCGGCTACTCCTGCCCGGAGTGCGGGGTGAGCCGACGCGGTGGGGACGGGCGACCCTGGGGACGGGCTCGGGTCGGGGAGAGGCCGGGCTGCGGCGGGGACCGGGCGGAGGAGGCGGGGAAGGGGAAGGAGGCGAGGGGGGGGGGCGAGGGCAGAGGGAGGGAGGCCGGGCGGAGGGGGCGGGGGCGAGGAGGGGGAGGCAGGGAAGGGGGAGGAGGCGAGGGGGAGGGCAGAGGGAGGGAGGCCGGGCGGAGGGGGCGGGGGCCGCTCCGGTCACCTCTGCTCTCCCCCCTCCGCCTGCTCGGCGCACGTCCCGCACTCCCCAGTCGGCGAAGCCCAGGAGACCACCAAGGAGTTCAGCCGGGAGGCGTTTTGGAGAAGACTCAGTGAGTGCCTCTCCTGTTGGGTGGACCCCCCCCCCTTCTTCCAGCGACCCGCCTGCCTCCCCCTTCCCCTCCCCGCACCCTCTCTGCGGGGTGCCTCACCATACCCACCCTCGGCACCTCCGAGGTTGAAATAGTAAACAGTGATTTTTGGAGGTGTTTTTGAGACGTCTCAGCGGTCAGGGTGGAGAGGGAACGCTTTATCTTTCAAGTCCCTGCAGCAGCTGCAGCCTCATCCTTTTGGCACTGACGTGGGCTCCTGGCTGCCCCGCTGTCACCCCCAGATGAGGCCGCTGAGCAAGTGTCAAGGGAAGCCACGACTCTGACTGAAGTCTTCTCTCGACTGCCGCGGCCACTGCCGTCCTCACAGGTGGGCTTTCATTCCTCATGCCTTAGGAGCCCTCACCGTCTCCGCGCCGGTGACGCTCAGCCAGGGCGTTTATTCTTATCTGTCCGGGCAGACTGCAGTTCTCACCTCACAGGGTTGTTGTGAGGACCACCTTGCCACGTGCAGCACCCGGCGCGGAGTAGGCTGGTCTTCTAAATAGTATCGGTTCAACTTAAAGTTCATTCTGGTTATCACTTTCTGGTGATTTAAGCACTTGCTATTTGTTTTCACAAATCTGACCCCCATTTAACAGATGAGTAAGCAGGCTCAGAGGCTAGAGTTAAGGTGTATAAGTAGTGAATTAGGATCTATCTGATGTCTGAGCTATATCTTTTTTTTTTTTTGTTTTGGTTATGCTACATCCCTTTTTATATTCAATTATTTTTACATTTTATCAGTAACAATGTATATAGTATAAAATTTGGAAGATATCAAAGTTCAGTGTGCTACAAAGTTTATATCTCCATTCCCCAGTTCCTTTTGAATTATTCATAAGTATTCTATGCATATGCACATTTCTGTATACATGCCTGCTTCTTTTTACACAAATGGCAGAATGCCATAAACACTTTAATGAATCTTTTTTTTAATTAACAATATAGTTTGCAAATTGATTCTCAGCAGCACATATGAAGTTGCTCATTTCTTTGTAATGGCTGCATGGTATTCACTAGAGAACATATAACTGTAATTCAGGTAACCAGTACTCTATGTAGACATTTAAACTGTTTCCAATTTGTAACTATTATAAACAGCGTTGTAAATTGTCTAGTACATTCTTGGTATATGTGTGTATATAGGTAAAAACAAAACAAACAATTACATACACAAGAACTACAAAAACAATTCCAGGAAGTGGAATTGCTAGAACAAAGAATTTATGCATTTGATAAGCCTTTATTATAAAACTAATGAAAATAAACATGTCAACTGTGACCAAGTATGCTCTATGCCCAGTTTTTCTAGAGCTATGTATACTGAATTTGGGGTAAGTTTATTTAAAAATGGCATACTCATTGCCTTATTTGATTTTCGTAGTTAATACTTTCATTTTCTTGGTCAATCTGTATTTCCAGATGTTTTGAAATGGAAAAATACTCTTTTGCTGCACCTACAATGATAGACTCTCTTTTCCTACATAACTCAGAGATCTGTGATGAGAAAATGAGATTAATTATATGAGAGCACTTTAAAAACTTTGTGGAAAAAAGTCAATATTTATTTCAAAGGGAGTTAATAATATTACTTTGTTGTTATTTTTTGTTTGTTTTTTTTATCTGCAAATATTCTTAGGCCTTGCTGCTAAAATTCACAGCTAGTAAGAAACCATGAGGAGGCAGCATAGAACTATTTTCTGTACATGCTTAGATCAGTGGTTTCACTCAGATAGAAAATTAGAATTTGGTTTTATTTGAATTATATATATTTGAATCACAATTGCTTCCTTATTATCTCAGCATGTTAGTCTAACTGAATAATAGTTATATTTATTTTTAATTTCAATTCCATATGGACTTTTACTTTGATAAAATTTTGTATTTGGATGTTTAAGGTATGTCAAATGGCCATAAAAGTTTCTAACTCTCAGTTACTGTACTTATCCCTTTCAGACTAGTAAACCAGTTTGGGGACTGGCACTATTATGAAGAGCACATTATACATAGGACTGGCTTAAAATTTAGCAGCTAAGTGAGGACAAGGAAGATTAGTGAAAGTCAGTGTCTGCTTAGAAGAAAAATAATCAACACTGAATATTGTAGAGTCCATTATTATCGTTAGGTATATTATGATCCTGCTAGGCTAGAGAGAGAGACAGACACCTGGTTTGGCAAACTTTTTCTGCAAAGGGCCAGATAATAAATATTTAGGCTTTGCAGGCCAGTGATGCAACTCTGTAGTGCAAACACAACTATAGATAATATGTAAATAAAAGAGTGTGACTTTGTCCCAGTAACACTATTAAAAAAAATTGTCAGTGCACCTGATTTGGCCCAGGGATCCTTAGTTGGCCAATTCCTTGTCTAAGATAGGGTGAATATTTCACAGCAGAAATCAAAAATAAGTTTTTCTAACTGTTTCTTAATGTTTTATTGAATTACCAGCTTAGTACCTGGTGTCTGGCTAACTTCTCTCTAGTGTGTGATGAGAATAGCACAAGGCCTAACTCATACTTGGACTTCAGAAAGGGTTTATGATGCTATACCGTTGTCTTCTCTCTTCCAGAGTAGAAGAGTTGACCAGATTGATCTAACCCAGTGGTCGGCAAACTGCGGAACGCAAGTCACATGAGGCTCGACAGCTGCGGTTTGCCGCTCTGTTGACTAATGAGTTTGCTGACCACTGATCTAACCCATTTCCTTTTTCATTTTGAAATTCATTTACTTCCTCATAGGAAGCCCAGAGGCTCTGTGAACAAGTCCATGCTTCCATCACGGCAATTATTGAAGTATACTACTCGCTTCCCAAGGATCAGGGTAAGCCACTGTCACACATAAACATTGGGTAGACTTTGGCTAATACCGTGTTTCCCCGAAAACAAGACATCCTCCGAAAATAAGACCTAGCGCATGGAAAGATAAGACATCCCCTGAAAATAAGACCTAGCGCGACTTTGGGAGAAAAAATTAATATAAGACACTGTCTTATTTTCGGGGAAACAGGGTATGATAGCTTACGTACTGAAACTTTACTTTTCCCTCAATTTGAGCATGTAATATAACTTTCTCATAAAATGCAAAGATAACTTCATAATGGAAGTGACTTCTGTAAATAAGCCTTCAGATATAGATGCTGTGTTCCCATCTCACCTGCCTTGCCTGACTTTAAGGTTTTTCATTCTCACTAATTCCTTCCTCTCTAACCCAATGTACCATCACAGATGCTGGCTAGATCTCAGCCCCATACCCAGGCCCAGGCTATCCCCAGTCTCCACCCATATTATATCACACCTTATTGATGAGTTTCCTTATACATTAAGCGGCTTCCATGCCTTTCTTTTTTATTTTTTACTTTTATTGACTTCAGAGAGAAAAGGAGAGGGAGAGAAAGATAGAAACATCAATGATAAAAGAGGATCATTGATCGGCTGCCTCCTTCACGCCCCCTACTAGGGATAGAGTCTACAACCCAGGCATGTGCCCTTGACCAGAATGGAACCTAGGACCCACAGACCAGTGCTCTTATCTACTGAGCCAAACCAGCTAGGGCCAAGCCTTTCTTATAATCAGTACTCGGGAATGGTGGAAAGGGCAAGAAAATAACATGGGGACCTAAGTCAGACCAGTTTTGTGTGGGCACTCCAGTTACAGCAGGTGGGTGCACATTACCTAAGATCTGTAGTGCTTACACTCTGAGGAAAGTAGATGCTGACTTCTGGAAAGAAGGCCGGGCTGCTTAGTCTTTGTGTTTGGCTACAGGAATCACCCTGAGGAAGCTGGTTCGGAGCACCACTTTGGACATCGTGGAGGGCATGGCTCAGCTTGTGGAAGTCCTTTCCACCACTCCGGCTCAGAGGTAGGGATGCCACGGTTGAGTTACTAGTTAGTGGGGTTCCTTGTTTCAGGAAGGGGGAAAGCTCATTTCAACAGCAAAATCGTTGTATAACAGAATAATAACAGGAGGAAGGAGCTCTTTGGGATAGGAACCTAGATTGTTGATATGTCTTTATTGATTCCTTTCCTCAGCCCTGAGAACAGTGACCTTATCTCTTGCAACAATGTCTGGGTTGCGTGCGAGCAGGTGCCTCAGATACCAAGAGGTGGGTAAGAGTGGGACGCGGGCCATTGACTCTGCTGGCCAAAGCAGACAGACCTCTCCTATTAGCTCCCAGTTTTGTACCATATATGTATTTTAACTTACACAAAGAGTTTAGTCATATATATATAATTTGTTACCAATATCAAATGATAGGTATTAATACTTTCTGCCAGCCTTTTTAGTTCTCTTATTTCTTAATTCAAACTCCCCTTTTGCTGTGGCTCTGCTTTTTATTGAACACCTATGGCTTGTTTTCCTGGTCCTGCCTGGATCAGTATTTCTTTTCTTAAAAAAATAAAAAAATAAAAATAAAATTAAAAAGCTTTTATTTATTTACTTATTTATTTATAAATATATTTTATTGATTTCTTACAGAGAGGAAGAGAGAGGGATAGAGAGTTAGAAACATCAATAAGAGAGAATCATCGACCAGCTGCCTCTTGCACACCCCCTACTGGGGATGTGCCCACAACCAAGGTACATGCCCTTGACTGGGGATGTGCCCACAACCAAGGTACATGCCCTTGACTGGAATCCAATCTGGGACCTTTGAGTCTGCAGGCCGACGCTCTATCCACTGAGCCAAACCAGTCTCGGCAGCTTTTATTTATTTTTGAGAGCGAGGGAGAGAGAGAGAGAGGGAAACATCAGTGTGAGAGAGAAACATCAATCAGATCACATACTTTCTGCAACCTCCCTACGGGGGAATTGAGCTCACAGCCTGGGCATGTGCCCTGACCGGGAATCTAATAACCGGTGACCTTTTGGTACATGGAACGATGCCCAACCAACTGAGCCTCACTGGCTGTGGCCCCAGGTTCAATATTATGGGACACTCGGAAGCAGTTATGAGGTGGAACCAGCTAGGTCCAAAATGGTCATTCAAGAGGACCACAATGAGAAACACCTTGTGACCATTTTACTTGCAGTGAATGATAAAAAGCTTTTTAGCCCTCTGTTTGGATATCCAGAGGATGTATGTGAGAATTTTACATTAATCACTGGCCTTGTTGATTGTCCTTGGCACTTCCTTCAAATGGGAACACTGTTGATTGCCCCTCGCAGACTTTAGAGAATTGTTGGCTTTCTCTTCTAATTTTTTACTTACAGATAACAAAGCTGCAGCCCTTTTAATGCTGACAAAGAATGTGGATTTAGTGAAGGATGCACATGAGGAAATGGAGCGGGTGAGGAGACTTCTATCTTTGCTGGTCATTGGAAGGCAACTGTGACTAGGAGATGAGAATTGGTTACAAAGAGAGGAGATGTCCTGAGCACTGGCCCAATAAGTCCCGGCCTCACTCCTGTCCTCCATCTCCCACCTGCACCCCATGCTGGTGTGTGATTCAGTATCACTCCCCCGTCCCATTGCTGGACTAGGAGGGAGAGAGGGATTATGTAGTGATCCCACTGTCACCATTAGTGAAGTAGTGAGCTGAGGTTTGGGACAACTCAGACATGATGCTGAAAATTACAACAGACTATTTTTTAGCATTCACATAAATGATGGTATGTCTTAGGCTGTGGAAGAATGTGACCCTTACCATGGCCTCTTGAATGATGATGAGGAGGACAGCTCTGACAGCCATGGTGATGAACAGGATCATGTGTTGGGGTGTCCAAACAATCAGGACTCGTATTGGTCAGAGGAAGATCAAGAGCTTATAATCCCGTGCCTTGCGCTGGTGAGAGCATCCAAAGCCTGCCTGAAGAGAATCCGGATCTCGGTGGCGGAGAACGGAAAGAAGGACCAGGTGGCCCAGCTGGACGACATTGTGGATATTTCTGATGAGATCAGCCCGAGGTAAGGATGAGCTCTGCTTGAAATATCTGAGCAGCAATTCTGATCTCTGCTTGTGTTGTCACCCTAGTTTCCCGCCCTCCCAGTTTGTTTATTTTTTATTTTGAAAATCTTCAAACCTACAGGAAAGTTGAAAAAGTATTGCAGGGAGCACCCACACATATCCTTCACCTACATTCACTTATTATTCACATTATTTTCTGTATCAGTTTATATCTCAATAGATTTATGTGCCATTTTTTCCCCACTGAACCATCTGAGAGTAAGTTGCAGACATCAATGACATTTCACCTTTAAATACTTTTATTCTTATTATAGCCAAGAAATTTAACATTGAAAAAATTAATATGATTTTATGTTCAGATTTGCCCAGTTGTCTCTAAAATATCTCTTACAGAATTTTTTAAAAAAAATCTAAGGTTCTGTCTTGGTGTCACATTGCATTTGGTGGTCATCTCTTCAGTCTCTTGCAACTAGAATAGCCCCTGTCTTTTTCTTAATTGACATAAACAATTTAAAATAATCTTTGTAGAATATCCAACAATCTAGATTCCTATGACTGTTTTTTCATGATCATATATTCAGCTTAAAGATTTTTTTGGCAAGAATAACATAGTTGAGTGGGTTGGGCTTCTCATTGCATCACCTTGGGAGTCACATGATGTACGTCTGTCCCCATTATTGGTGGCACTAAATTCAATCAGTTGATTAAGTGGTGCCCACATTGGTGGCATTATATGGATGAACCCCTCCTGTATTATAGTTATTAAATTGGTGGTTTCAGATCCTCAGATTTTTTTTTAAATAAATTGATTGTGTCTTCTCCTAATAAAACTGGGTATATATGTGTTCAGCAAATACCTGTTGAGTTGATTCTTTATTGGTTGCCCAATTTAAGGACCTTGATAGACATTTCTGGGGCAGTCATTTTCTTACTAGTTTGCATCCTTAGTTGTGTACTAGAAATCATATAGCTGTGCTTTGTTTAGTTTTTGTTAATGGTTATTTTCACTTTCTGTCCTTAGTGTGGATGATTTGGCTCTAAGTATATATCCACCTATGTGCTACCTGACTGTGCGAATGAGTGTAAGTACCTGCATTGATAAACCTAATTGGTAGAATTTTACCAATCACTAGCATTTTCTTTAAGCTGTAGGAAATATATTTGTTACACTTGGATATAAGTACCACAGTAATATATTTCTTACATGTGTCTGTGCTGGATAAATATTTGCTGAATTATAAATGCCATGACCTCTGGTAGTACTGTTTTCTATATCCACCTGGATAATCATTTAGAAAAACTCAAAGACCTTAGAAAATGCTTCTTTGAAGAGAATGTCTTAATTACTGTAGTGCTTTCAGATCTTCTCAACTGAAGTTACCTGTTTCTGATTTCTGCTATAGGCAGAAATAAGTGTTCCAGAAAAAAAACAGTGTTCTAATATAAACACATTATTTGATTTAACCATGAAGGATCAAGCTCGTTATAAAATCTTATTTTATTATATTCTTTGAAGTTCTAGGTTCTGTGCTAGAGAGAGTTCTATTTTATTATCTCTAATGTTATTGAAAGGAGAAGTAAAACTATCAAATGGCTTATATTCTGTAATCAGATGTATCAATCCTAATCATATTTGATAAATAGTGGAAATTAGATATATCAAATGTATCTTCACATATACAAACACCTTGAAGAAGAATAGGATTCTTTTGGGCATTAAATTTTTAAATTTGGATTCACTTTTAAAAACTGACTTCCTAAGACATAAACATCTTTAGCAATATACCTTCTCAATTACCTTGAATATAAATATAAAATATGTATTACATATTGATGGCATACATATATCCTCATGTTATCTTGTCATTAGTGTTCTTAAAATTCTGTACATAGATTTAAAAAAAAAAAGAATTAGGATTTAAAAACATTTTTTATTATTGATTTTAAAGAGAGAGAAAGGGAGAGAGAGAGAGAAAGAGAGAAAGAGAGAAACATAGCTTGGTTGCCTCCAATACGCACCCCTATGGGGGACCGAACCTGCAACCCAGGCATGAGCCCTGACCAGAAATCAAACCGGCAGCCTTTCAGGACACAAGACGATGCTCAACTGACTGAGTCACACTGACCAGGGTTATACATAGATTTTTAAAGAGAAAAACATTAGTTGTTTCTACTATATGTTTAGAACTATCAGAAGTTGGGCCAAATTCAGGTTATATTCTTCCTTCTGCAGATTTTTAAAATTTAAAATATTTTTTAAAATCTTGTAAAAGTGTTGTAGCAACAGTATTAATAAGATTTGGCTAAATAGTAAAGAATCCAAAATCAGGGACAGCCCTTACCATAAAAATAAACTTTCTCTGTTTCTTTTCTAGGCTGCAAAACTTGTATCTGTTCTCAAGAAGGCACTTGAAATTACAAAGTGAGTATAAGAACTTCTCTCCAAGTAGATTTTTGAGAATAACCTATCCAGCCATTCTCAGCTCCCAAACCCCTATTTGAGGGAGTGGGTATGGAGTTTTCTTTCAACTTCAGTTGTAGAGCAGCTGAGCTTCTGCAGAGAAACTTGCCTTTTCTTAATTTAGTTTCCTCTGTGCTTCCTGTTGAAGATATGTTTTCCCTTGACGATATAATAAATTTCATTTCTTTTTCCCCCCATTCCATTCACAGAGCCAGTCATGTAACCCCGCAGCCCGAAGATAGTTGGATCCCTTTACTCATTAATGCTGTTGATCACTGCATGGACAGAATCAAGGAACTCACTCAGAATGAACTTGAATTATGAGTTTTCAGGCTCATTTTTACTCTCCTCTTTTTCTTACTGTCATAGACAGGCTCTGATGTCTGCTTTTAAAAAGGGGCTAGATTATTTTCTGGTTTGAAAGGGAGTTTCTGTCTGATCAAGAGACACTATTACCAAAAATTGTTTGTTAGGCCAGACTGGCAATTATTTATAAAAATATTAGTATGATATATTTTTCTGTGCTAGCTACAAAAGATAATGGCATGATTTTGTGTTCCTGAATTACCTCCCAAAGATTCCTGGGGAAATTGCTCATTCCCTATTTGCAATAAAGTATATTGTTTCATTGTTAAAGATGTTGGCAATCTCAATAAAATACTAACATGAGTACTCTTCCAAAGTTTCTACTAAAAATACAGGTTGAAACTAAAACACTGCTTTCCTTTAGTCTTAAAAGTCTGAAGTATACATAGAACAAAATATTCAGAAGTATACATAGAACAAAACACTTTACAGAAAGTGACTCCAAAGCCCCTCTTAGTAATTGAGCATCTTACCTAATAAAAGAGATACATGCAAATTAACCATCACTCTGCTACACCTACAGCCAATCTGAGTATGCAAATTAACCCAACAAAGATGGAGATTAATTTGCTTATGTAGGAGTGATGTGAAGCCTGCTATGAGGGGAAAGGGGGCGGTGGAGGGAGCTACTGGAGTGGTTGGTGTTCAGGACAGAAGCAAGGACTTGCCAGCTCCCGGGCAGCTAGGAGTGAAGCCAGGGGAAGGAAGGCTATTCTTGCACGAATATCGTGCCACGGGCCTCTAGTGTTCTATAATATTATTCTTATTAAGTCCTTCTGAATATTACCGGTCACTCCATGCCTCTAAAATTATTTTGTGGTATTGAGCTCATTTGTTAAGTTTGCTCACCTTACTGAACCAGATTTGTTTTTCTTATACATACCTTTATTGTTTTCTGTTATGTATTACTGGTCTCCACATATAAATGCAAAATTAAAAGCAAAAAAATTTTTAATTGACCTTTTAGGGAGAGGAAAGGGGAAAAAGAGAAAGAGAAACATCAATATATTGCCTCCTGCACATGGCCCAACTAGCAATCGAACTTGAAACATCGGTATGTGCCCTGACTGGTGGGCAATTGAACCCACCATCTTTGGTGAACAGGATGATATTCAAACCAATCATGCCACACCAGCCAGGGCTAACTACACAATTTTTATAATCCAAAAAATTTTTAATGTATAAGCTCATATAATTTTAAGTGTCTCTTTCGTTAAATGTTTTGCAAAATCATCACCATTTATTATTTTGTACCAGCCTAGATGATTATATATTGGAAACACAGTAAACCTGTAGTTTTGCATATTTTATTGACCTGGCTTGGGCCTTAAGTATATACCACAGTCTCAGCAACCTCTTCTGCCAGTTCTTTTTCTTGTGTAGGTGTAATTCATCCCATCTGCCCTTCTGTCTTAGGAAGAAACAGCCATTCTTTTTTTTAATTTTTTATTTTTTTTAAAATTGATTTTTCACAGAGAGGAAGGGAGAGGGATAGAGAGCGATAGAGAGCTAGAAATATCGATGAGAGAGAAACATCTACCAGCTGCCTCCTGCACTCCCCCCCACCAGGGATGTGCCCGCAACCAATGTATATGCCCTTGACCGGAATCGAACCTGGGACCCCTCAGTCAGCAGACCGACACTCTAGCCATTGAGCCAAACCGGTTTCAGCATTGTAGCCATTCTTTTGAGCACTAGTGAGTACTTGGGGTTGAAAGTCCTAAGGCAAGAGTTTTAATTTTCCTTTATAAAGTGTCATTCTGTATATTTAACAAATGTCATGAAGAAAAAGATCTAAATTCAAACTGAGAAAGTGCCAAAGCAACAAAATAATGTGAACAAAAAACACACAAAACATTACTTGGTACAAAAGGAGTTCAGGTTGTTTTTTTATTCTTTTTTACAAGGCCTATTTTCTATATTCTTAATAATTTTAACATTTCTCTACTAGACCAAATTCATGTTATTAACATCAGACTTTAATTGTTGGATACTTAATACATATAGAACTCTCATAAAACTTACCTATAGCTGAATCTAGAAGATCCTTCTACCCTTAGATCCTGTGTTCTGTATGTTATAACTTGATTCAGTCATCTTTGAGATTTTAAGGATAATGGGTAGGGATAGCACCAATCAATGAAATATTAGGATTATCTAAAAATTCCATTTTTAGCAATTTCAAAAATACATGATTTAAATGTTAGGTTCTTTTCCTTACCTATAAGTTAATGAATGTGTTAGCACTAAAATGGTTATGAAAATCCTGAACCAGAAAAATCTGAATGTATTCATCTGAGCACCTTTTTAAAGATCTCCTTTTATCACTCAAGCCCAGTAGTTTCTAAGGCAACTAGTCTTCACAGCTGCCTTAAGTTGGAATGACAGAAATGGGTGTCTTTTCTGTTGATTTCTGGGGACCTGGATTTGTTCTGCTCAGCTTGAATGGGGATTCATTTGCCTGGTAAGCAAAGTTTCCCTTCCAGCACGTGTGGTTTTAGAGCTTAGATACAAGAGGGTGGTGGGGGCAATGGTGCTGGAGCTGGCCGTCTAAGCTGCGAGTTCAGGGGCGACCACGGTGACACTCCTGTAGTTGGTTAGGTTCTGGAACATGTTGCAGTCCATTTCCACGTTGAGCCTCTGGGGCCCCGCCTTCACCGGTGTGAACCAGAACTGGGTGCACAAGGTGTTTCCTGGTCTCACGGGACCTATTCTGAAATAAAGGAAAAGGCAGATGCTAGTTCTGTCCCAGGTTGATTGCTTTGCTGGTCCCAGTGACTCTGATCCTTTCCTACCGGAAGAGGTGGATCGTGACCCAAGTACCTAGCTGTTGAAACAGGAGGTTTGAAGGGGGTAGAAGACAGGAGCCTCCCTATGGTGAGCAATTTCATGGTTGAGAAGGGAAATCCTATTCTAAGGGCTTCCAAGCTGCATCTGTTGTTTCTTTTACCACCTGTGACTTCAGTCTGGTCCCAGTCTCAGTCACAGTATTGGAGTATATTTGGAAAAGCTATAGCTTTGGGACCCTCACATTGCTAAATACAGCGGGTATGGCAGGTGTACTGAGATGCCAATATGTCATCAGGTGGTGGTTGGAGCCCTCTCAGTAGCTTCCTGCCTGCCTGTGGACCTTATGGTGACTGAGGGAACGGTACAGATTTTCTTTGAGAAGCTTTGCCCCACAATTGATCTGGAAGACCACAAAAGTCTGGTTAAATGTTGGCAGTCCCTCCTCTGAACTTATTGGCAAGAATGACTCATTGAGCTTCATGAGGCTGAGGCAGGGGCTCAATACTAGACAACCTGTCAGGGCCCTCAGGGATGGTACAATAGTCATCGTGAGCTCTAAGCTATATATTGTGTTATTCAGCAAAGGATGTACTAGACATAATGAGAGGAGAGATGATGAAAGAAGATACTTGCAGCGTTTAAAACCAACAAGGGACTAATACCTAGACTATCCAGGCCACTCCTACAAATCATCGAGGAAAAAAGGTGGGAACACCAAAAGAAAAGTAGTCAAAGACCTTTAGAGAGGAGTAAATGAAAAGGCTAATAAACACGAAGAATTAAAACAATAGTGAGACATTACCTTATTTCCATTAGACTGAAAAAAAGAGAAGGTTGGGTATTGCCATGAGTGGAGGAATAGTAGGAATATAGAAACTGTCCTGGAGTGCTGGAGGGAGTGAGGCTTCTGCAGCCATTCTGCAAAGAACACTGATAGTACCTGATCAAACCAGGGCATATCCTATGACTCAGCAATTCTATTCCTGGGCATATCTATCCTATCCTCGCCCGTCAAAGTTTCAAACAAGTACATAAGGGGACATATGGAGATGTTCATTGCAGCAATATGTATAGTGTTTGAGAGTCGGAGGTACTATGGGTACCATCACTGTGAAGTAGAGGGTAGGTAGCAGGGGATGTGCAGTTGTATTATGTAGCAGAAACAATGGACTGGATATATGTGGATGAATCTTAAAAACATAGATCTGAGTGAAAAGTAAGAAAAAGAATTAGACATAACATCACTTATACAATTTAAAAATATAAGCTCAGGCCCTGGCCAGTGTGGCCCAATTAGTTGGAGTGCTGTCCTGTGCCACTGAAGGGTCACAAGTTTGATGGGTCACAAGTCAGGGCACATACCCGGCTGTGGGTTCAATCCCTGGTTGGGGAATGTTCAGGAGGCAACTGATCAATGTCTCTCTCACATCAGTGTTTCCCTCTCCTCCCTCTCGCTCTAAAATAAAAATAAAGGCTCATGAAGCAATAGTGCACATTTTACACATACTAACAAAATAATGAGAAGTGTGAATGGAATGGGAGTAGGAAATAGGGATAAAAGAGAATATTGAAACAAAATTCAAAATTGTGGTGGGCTTTAGCAGAATGTAGCTTTCAAGAGGCAGCCTCCCATGATGTTCTCTAGTACCCAGTCCTAACCCTGTCACCTGCACTCACCAATATTGAGGCTCTCCCTGCATGACAGGGCAGCAACCGGGGTCAGGTGGGTGCCTAAGGAGTACACAGCCTCCCTCACTGCTGTCCCCGTGGGATGAGATAGGCCCTAATCTCTTAGCTCTACTTCAGGGCATATTTGCTCTGTCTCCATGGACACCAAAAAGACAGTTATTAACCTTGGGTGCAGTGTTTCTCCAGTTGAAACGTGTCGGTGGGTTGAAAAGCTTGTGGTTTCTTACCTGTAGCTCCTCTCTCTGTGAATGAGCCCCCTTCCGAAGACGGAGATCACACAGTCCTTTAGGGGAGCATCCAGGGAGTTATGGATGCTGACTGAGGCCTTAAGAGGCTTGTACTGCTCTGCTGCCTCTGGCATCTGTGGTAAGAGACGCAGTTACTCCTTCCCCTCCTGGGCACACTCCCTGTTCCCTGCATTACTCTCCTATCTCTGCCATCCTGACCCAAACACCTCAGCTGACTTCTTCACCCCTCTGCCTGGTCTTCCTGCATTCACCCTCACACCAGATCCCTCACAGACCGTGTCTGATGGTAACTCTCCTCCACCTTGAGGCCTTGGAGGGTTTCCCATGGTCTCCGGAAGGAAGCCTCAGTTGGCATTCAGAACCCTTCATGGTTTGACCCCAACCCACTTCTCCAACCTTATTTGTTCTTCCCTTGACTAAAGAACATTCAAGCCACGTCAGGTGCTCTCCCATCCCCAGCACACCCCTCAGGCTCCTTCCTTTGGACTCTTCTTCTTGCAATGGCCTTCCCCCACCTCTGCACTGGAAGCGTACCCATTTTCCCCAGTATATATGCCACCTTCTCCATGAAGTCTTCCTCAAACTAATCAGATGAATTAACCCCCTTTACCTCACTTATCCCATAGTGACCTTGTGGCTCTATTAAAGCATTTACATAGAAGACCAACACTGTGTCTCCCTTACGCAATTATAACCTCTTTAAGGGCGTGGACCAAATTGCATTAATTTTGGCCAGGGTAGCCGTGGAAAGATGACTAGATCAAGAGCCATCAGTCTCCAAAATGTTCCATTATTATGATCTTGGGCATATTGCTCTGTAGGAGTTTCCTCATCTGAAATAATGGGAACAGTTCCACCTCACAGGGCTTTTGAATGAAAAGAAAGGAGATGGAAATACATTGCCCTATGCATAAAGTGCTAAATAAACACAGGCAATTATTATCCCTATAAGTATGGAGGCAACAACTGGGGAGGACCAACCTTTACTTAACCACTTAAGAAGTGGGAAGATTTAAACCTGAAGAGCACACGTAAGAAACCATCTCTTTCAAGGCAAGGAGCTCTCAACATAGCATTTTCCGGTGATCCTGCAGCAGCCACCTGCACTGAAGTGGGATGGCCTCTGATTCTTTCTGAAATGGGGACCTGAGTAGTAAGTGCATGAGAGCAATTTGGGGAAAGACTGATGCCTACCTCAATTTCAAGGTGTGGTCTACAAATGGCGATGTCTTCCTGAGCAAAGCAGCTAAGGCTGGACTCTGAGTGCGTTGCCACAGCGGTAAGTCTGAGGAAGCTGTTCTCAGGTGGGCTTCGCTCAAAATGGGAGAAGGACAGGCTGGTGGTGATTCTCCTGACTGAGATACGTGACAGAGGAGTCAGTGCAAAAAAGCTGAGTGAGCGTGCCCCGGAGACAAGCAATGGTTACGCACAGAATGCAGAGGAGTCAGGATCTCGCTGAAGCCAGAAAGGAGCCCCCTCCCTCACAGCAATTTCAAACTGAAACTCATCCAAGAACCCACCCCTCTCCCCAGCACCACCTTCACTAACACGTTTGGCAGACCACCTCCTTGGGCTTGTGGACACAGTCCCTGTGAGCTAGAACAAGCTAAGCTCTCTTGGCCTGTTTCTTTGTCTAGTAATAATACCTACCTGGTGGGATGGCTTGTGTTAAAGGAGATACTGCAAATGAAGTACTTATCTCAGACCCCGCTACACATTGATACTGAATATATGCTGACGTAGTTCCTTCCCATTCTCTGCTTCTTCTCTTTCCCTTTTGCAGAGAAAATAAAGCCATCCTTCATCCCCGAGGAATCCTTTCAAGCTCCTGTTCCCATCCCCAAACTACAGACATAGACACACACCCTAGCTCTCTCTGCTCCCCTTGCGGGGTGATGGGTCCCCACTGCGCAAGTCCAGTCCTCTGTTTTTACAATCTATGCTCCATCCTGACCCTACTAGGGCCTATCTGTGCAACTTTGGGTGAATTATTTAACCTCTCTGTGTCTCGGTCTCCTCAATCTGTAAAGTGGGGATAATAATGGTTCCTGCCTCATTAGGTTGTGAGGATAAATGAGCCAATGCAACTATAACACTTAACACACCATGTTTGTCACTAATAAAGGCCCAAAAATGTGAGCTATAATTGTTCTTGTTGTCTCTCATTTCCCCAAGAGTTGCACCATCAATTAAAACCCATCTCTTCCTGGGTGGAGGTGGGCAATGGGCGTGGGGGTGGGAGAAATGGCAGATATCTCTTATAGTGTCAACAATAAAAAAAAATAATAAAAATAATAAAAGCCATGGCCAGTGTGGCTCAGTTAGATGAGAGTCATCCCATGCACCAAAAGGTTACTGGTTCAATTCCCAGTCAGGGCACATGCCCAGACTGTGAGTTCGGTCTGCATAGGAGAGGCAACCAATCAGTGATTCTTTCTCACATCAATGTGAGATTTATAATTTTTTTCTTTAAATGTTTGGCTCCAACCATGGAATTTCTGATTTAATTGCTCTGGGGTGCAGGCTGAGCATCAGATTTCCCTACGTGATTCTGACTGTAGGAACATTTGAGAACCACCGCTCTTGTCCAGGAAATTTCAACCCTAGAATAACATGAGGAGTTTTTTTTTTTTTTTTAAACACCAATCAATGCCTAGGTCCCACCCCGGACCAATTAAAGAAGAATCTGTGGGAGGAAGAACCTGCACACATGTTGCTCTTCTGCCGGGAATGCCCGTGACTCACGTTTCTGTCCATCACTGTCCTGTCACCCTTAGGACCCAGCGCCGCCTGATTTGCTTGGCGGCAGCCTGCGCTCCAGCCTGGGTGCAATGCCCCCTGCCATTCCATTCTGTTTACCTTGCCAAACACTTCTTACACTGCTGCTATGGCCTGTATACTTACCTTACTGCAATCAGAATTGTGGGATTTTATTTTTTCTGTATGAAGCACAATAACTAGATGGAGAAATGAAAGAGAGAGAGAGAGAGAGAGAGAGAGAGAGAGAGAGAGAGAGAGAGAGAGAGAGAAAGAAGAAGAAGAAGAAGAAGAAGAAGGAGGAGGAGGAGGAGGAGGAGGAGGAGGAGGAGGAGGAGGAGGAGGAGGAGGGAGGGAGGGAGGGAGAGAGAGAGAGAGAAGAAAAAATCCGCCAGGAGCTAGAAGCCACCCACTGAGACCTGCAGGGGAGCCTCATGGCTGCAGTCTGCCCCGGGTGGGCACTGGGTGTCTGGGATCGGCAGGGCCACAGAGAGTTACCCAGGTTGGCGCTGAGCGTAAGGAGCAGCTTCTCCCTCCAGAGCTCAGCAGCAAGGACGCCGTTGTAGTACACGGCCTGCACCCCAATGGCCAGCCGCACAGCCTTCTCCTGGTCACCGGGGTTAACCAGGGTCACGGAGAACTGGGCATCCCCTCTCAGGGGTAGGGAGCTGGGTGCTTCCAAGAACAGGTACAGAGGATCAGCAGTCTCGAGACTGGGAGGACGGATGCCGTTGTCTGCCCCATGCTTCAGTTTCTCTTTCTGCACTCTCTCCAGCACCTCTCTTTCTTGAAGAGATCCTGACGAACAGGAGAAACAGAGCAGGCCTCTTACCCAGCAGGTATAGGCCCTTCTAATAAAAGCCCAGGACTAAGATTTATTTACCCTCGGCTGCTCAAATGCCAAAGTTACGAGAACTTTGCAAACCTCTAAGGGCATATTTAACTTAAAAAATAAAATAAAAAAGTCTGTGTTCGGCACAGACACAGCAAGTCCCTTCTGAGTCACTCAAGGATTGAGTTCTTTTTCCAGGGCCATGAATCTGTCCCTTTGAACAGTTGGGAGGGCCAGCTTTTGGACAATTCACAGTCTCTGAGGACAGTTTGGAAGAGACATGAACCTTTCTAAGTGAAGGAGTTTGAACTTATTCCAAGGGCAATGGGGGCCATGGAATGTTCAGGAGCAGGGGTAGTAAGATAATTATACTTGTGTCTCAGAAAGCTCATTCTGGAAACGGAAAGTTTGGAAATGGAATAATGATGGAGAGATTGCAGGCAGGGGGTAGTTAGGCGATCATTGGAATATTGTGGATAAGAGATGACAAGGCCCTGGGTTACCCATAGGCCAGTGGGCGACAAACTCATTAATCAACAGAGCGGCAAACAGCGGCTCGTGAGCTGCGTGTGGCTCGAGAGCCGCAGTTTGCCGACTACTGATACAGGCAATGGGGAAGGAGATGCGGAGCCACATGTGAGAGTAATGTGGGGCGGTGAAGGAGAAAAGACGAGAGTGCAGGCCTTACTAATGGAACAAATAGGTAGACAGTAGTGCCATTAACCAATATGGAGGCAGGAACAGGCTAAGAGGGACTGGATAAGCAGGAGAGAGGAAGACCATCTTTTGGCAGCTGGGTTTAGCAGTACATGTGTTGTTTTGTAGCAAAATTGGGGGCAATTTTGCCCCTCAGGAGACATTCGGGAATGTCTGGAGACACTTTTGTTCGCCACAACTGGAGGAGGTGGTCATTGGTGACGGAGGGGTGCTGGCATCTGGTGGAGAGAGGTCAGACATGCTGTACAGGCCATCACAACGGAGAGTCACCTGGCCCCAAATGTCACTATGACACAGGGGGTTGAGAAATATGATGGGGTAAGAACTGCAACTCTCCATGGCCTGCATCCCCCCCTTTTGCTGTTTCAGGAGCCGAGAAGCCTGGAGCCTCCCCTGGCAGTACCTTCTGGATACTTGTAGTTCTGAGTGATGTCCTCGCAGCGGTCACTGCCCACACCTTTGGTGCTGATGTTTCGGCCCACATGCTTGGTGTTGGAGTTGGTCAGCGCCAGGGTCCCCTCCTCACAGCACTTCCAGACCACGCACGAGGCGTTTACCGAGGCGAAGATGTCCGCTACTCCGGGGGTCAGCCCCAGGGTCCCCTCCTTGACCGCTCTGACAGGGACCAGCTCACAGGCCTTCAGGACTAGGGGAGAGAAAGGTCAGTGGGCAAGCAGAGCCACAGCCAGACCTCTGCTTGGGCCGGGGCTCCATAAGCTCAGTTCCCATCCTAGTCCCCATTTTCCCTCCCCGGGGATTGAGGGCAGAGATGGGCACTGAGCAGGGTTTCTAAGAGGGCATGCAGAGGGGAAACAACGTTTAGCGGCAATAACGTTGGTAATGGTCTGTGGCAGGAGCCCTCTCAGAAACTGGACAGATAGAACCCCAGGAAGACCCAGTACGCAGGGGTTCCTAAGCCAGCTTCGCTACGGATGTGATAGGACTGGGCCACTGTTCTCTTGCGGGGGAAGGAAGAACCATCTTTTTATGGATCCTAAAGACCTTTTCTGAGCTTCTATCCAGATTCCTTCTAAGAGCCTGAACCTACTTTGATACCCTCTTCATCCATACCCAGAATCTCAGAAGCCCCGTGACAAGCCCCTGACCCAGCCCATCTACCAGCTCCCTAAGACCCTCTGCCTGTCACTGAGGCCCGCTCTCCCCGCTGTTGCTCTGAGGTGGGGCTCGTCTCCCCGCAGCCTTGGGCTGGGATGGCGGACACTTTTGTCCCCTTGAGCCCACTGGCATCAGGTCAGCATTCTGCCAGTCACCATCATTCTCTCCACTTTTCTTGCTTTAGGGAATGCAAACCCCGTTTGGACCATCTGTTGTTCCTGTTTCCTCTCCGAGGGACTCCTTCAGTCCAGGCACCACGTGACCCTGAGGCCTCCCGCTGCTCCTCCAGGTGTTTTTTTTTTTTTTTTTTTTTTTTACCTGCACCTCCCTTATGAGCACTTGGGTACAGAATCTGCCATCCACCGTAACCCTGGGGCAAATCAGGCCGGGCCATCCAGCACTCTGTGGAAGTCTGGAAGATCCTGAAGGTAGCAAAAGAGCCATTTGAGTGTAAAAAAAAAAAAAAAAAAAGGTTCCCAAAGAGGTCCTAGAAATAGCGGTTGCTGTTGCCATGGGGATGGGCGTTGGTGTGTACCATACAAGTGGCTGTAACACCAGGAAGGAGAGTGCCTGCCACGAGTGACCCTCAGCGCCCTGCCTCCTCTGTGCCTGGGCCGCTGGGGCGGTGGGTTCCCAAGGGGTCAGGCCCCAGGGGTGGAGCCCCTCCAGCCTGAGACTCCCTCCCCCTGCCTGGGCCTCTCACCAGATCCTGCCTCGCTGGCCCTCTCCGTTCAGGAGGCCCTCCTCGCTGTAGTACTCATCCACCAGCAGCCCCCCGCCCGTGCCCTGGGCGGAGGAGAAGGCGGTCACGGCTCGCGCAGGGATGCCCAGGGCCCGCAGCGCTGCGGGGGAGGGGCGCGGTCAGCGGGGCCGCAGGGCCCGGGGGTGTGGGGGGTGTGTAGGGCAGGGGAGGGGTGAGGCTAGTGTTTCCGGGGTCTCTTCCGGGCAGGCGCTGTCCGAAGTGCCCGGGGACAGCGTGGAAAGAGGAAGGGCACATGCACCGGGAAGTTAGAACTGGCACCAGGCACAGGACCTGGAAATGCGGTGCAGCAGGTCACCGGCAGGTGGAGCACGCTGCGGGGAGCGCCAGGGGGAGTTTCGGGGTGAAAGTGAGTTTGGGAGCAGCGTTCCCCAGATGGGCCCCACTTTGCTGAGCAGGAAAAGGAGCGGCAGCCTGTCAGGAGGAGCTGCCCTGAACAAATACCGGCTTCTTGGCCGGATGGAGCGGCTGAGCCCGTTATGGGTGGGAAGGAGGTGAGGCAATGGGGCGGGGTGGGGGCAGCACCCGCTTTTGGAGATGCCTCTGGCACAGGGGCCGCAGGGCAACCCCACGGGAGGACACTCTGTCCGGGGGTCCCGGGGGTCCCGGTGAGCCGGATCCGTACCTGTGCAGGCAACAGCGGCCAGCACCCAGGCCTGGCCGGCACCCACCGGCCGCCCGTGGCCCGTGCACCACCGCCGCAGGATGGGCGCGCTGCCCCGGCGCTTGCTCAGCCAGGCCCCCTCCGCCGCGTCCTGGGCCTGCGGGGCGGGCAGGACGCTCTTCTCCTGGAGGGCACGCAGCTGTTTGGGAAACACGTGGCTGTTGTGTGGGTCCCGGGATGGTCAGCTTTCGGGTGGGATTGGGGGGCGGGGGTGGTGGTGGTAGTGAGGGGGTGAGGTGAGGGTGAGAGGGTAAAGTGGGGTGGGAAGTGAGGAAGTCTCATCGCCCGTTTTCCAAGGTTGGTGAACAGGCATCTGCATCAGAATGACCTGGACCACGTTAAACCCGCATGTTCCACACTAGCTCACTAGGTTACCATCTTTTTTTGTGGGGCGGGGGGGGGGGGGGTTGGGGTGAGGGAGGCGCTGGGAGGAGTCCAGGAACTGACTTTAATATATATATATATATATATATATATATATATATATATATATATATATATATATATATATAACCGGTTTGGCTCAGTGGATAGAGCGTCGGCTTGAGGACTGAAAGGTCCCAGGTTCGATTCCGGTCAAGGGCATATACCTTGGTTGCGGGCACATCCCCAGTTGGGGGGGTGGGGGCGTGCAAGAGGTAGCTGAGCGATGATGTTTCTCTCACACATCGATGTTTCTAACTCCCTATCTCTCTCCCTTCCTCTCTGTAAGAAATCATTTAAAAAAAAAAAAAAGGTGGACCCCACTCCCTCCCTTCCAGAGACCCAGGCCTCCAGTGTGGGCTCTGAGGACATCCAGGCCAGGTTTAGTCCTTGCAGACTTGTGTCCTGGAGGATGATACCTCCCTTTGTTCCCCCCGCCCCCAACCCCCTATGGCTGCTACTGTCCTCCCCTCCATACTCACAACCTTCTCCAGGAACTACCCCCACACTGGGAAGAGGGCACTATTTGTGTTTTGCAGGTACTCAGGGCCACAGGGGAGGGAGGACAGCCCTGTCAGAGGGCTCCCACTTCCCTCTCACTCACCACTGCGCCCAAAACGAGGGCCACATGCACAGGGTTGCCCCACTCCTCCACTTGCTCGTCCGTGCTCAGCAAGTCCAGGCTGAGGTCCAAGACATCCCCCTCAAACTGGAAGGACCACACAGAGCAGTGAGGAAGGGTTCCTACCCCACAATTCAGCCCCGGCACCTCGTCCTCCTCTTAGACTCAGGCTTCCCTCCTTCCTCCCTTGCCTTGTCCCCCTGTGCCCCTTGACCCCTGCGCCTGGCGGTCCAATCCTTGGCCTGTTCTGTTATTCGACTCTCCCGCTAAGGTGTGAACGTGTGAAGACCAGGCCTGTGCTGTTTCCTGTCATTTCTATCTTTATCCCTTTAGTGCATGCCTGCCGCTCCTGCTGGCACTGACCCGCGTGTGGAGGGCGCCAAGGCAGCCCCTGCTCTTGAAAAGCCCACAGGGAGTGGTGGAGGGGGCTGTGTAGCCGCTTAGACTACAGGTCTCAGCAGCGTGGCCAGGGCGCTGGGAGAGATGCCAGCGCAGAGCAGAGAGCTCAGCAGAGAGATTCTCTCTGCCTTTGGGGCGGAGGAAGGCTTTCGGAGGGTCTTAAAAGATGGGTAGGAGCTTCCCAGGTGATATCGAAGGGAAGCTATTCCAGGTGGGGGGCACACTCAGCCCGCATGCCCAGGGGCTGGCTGGTCAGGGAGCTGGCGCATGGGTGACTCTGGGGGAAAGGAAAGCAGTGGCCTGGCTGTGAAGGTTTATATCCTGTGGACAGTGGTGGGGGGGGTGTTAATAAAGGGCTTTGATTGGTGTGATCTTTAAGAAGATAAATCTAGGATCTGTGGAGGATGGTCTGATATGGCCCCGAGGAAAGAGCAGTCCCACATGGCTGAAATTTCCTACACATGTTTCCTCATGACCAGGGGCTTTTGGTCCTGCCATTTCTGTCCCTTCCCCTTCCCCAGAGGCCCCCGTACCTGGCCGAAGTCCCAGGGCTCTTCCTGGATGCAGTCCGCCGTGCCCAGGTAGATGAGGCCGTTCTGGTTCAGCACGTACTCCCAGCGCTGAGCCTCATTCTCCAGGAACACAGCATCCTCTGGGGAGAGGCGGGCAGGAACGAGGGCCTGTGAGGGGCTGGGCCTGCTCTCCATATCCTGGCCTCTGCCCTCCCTGCCCAGGTCACTTTGGGCTGCACATCTCCCCTTCAGCTCTGGGCTTAATGAGGACTGAGGGAGGACTTTCTCTGTTCACTGGCCCCTCTGGGACCTGGCCTCCCTGGTGGAGAGAGGGGGCAGGGGGCAGACTTTCTGTGTCAGCCAAGGTGGCCTCATGGTCAGCCAGGAGCAAGCCAACCTTAAAAATCCTACTAGCTCCCAGAAGACAGCTGTAGCCAGAATGCTACCATCCCAAGAGAATTTGCCAACAATCCAGGGATCTTCCCCGTGGGCCTATTATGTCTCTCTCCCAAGTTTAATGTAAACAAAATAGTGTTTAGAAAAAAACAATACAACATAGGTTGACAGAGGGGAGCAGAAGGGGAGAGCAGCATTTGGCAAGACAGGGTGAGAGGGAGCAGTGGGGCTGGCAAAGTGAAAGATTTAGTGTGAAGCTGATGGAACTGAAGCTTTGGGCCCCTCACTAGCACAGGCCCCCTTCAGGCCCTGGGAGAGACCTTAGCAATTCAAAATTTTGTATTCTTTATCTTTAAGAGGATTCCCCAAATTATATAAACCTCAGTTTTTTCACAAAACCTGGGTTGACCTGGAGATAGTCTATGGGAGGCCAAAGGGGTAACAGAGAAGCTTATCCCTAAGTTCTTGCCCTTTTACAATAAAGGGCAGCTCTCCGGGGTCATCTCTGGCTCGTACCTCCTATGACCAAATAGCCTGAGCCAACACCAGAGTTTGGCGGTGAGACGACCCTTTGCTTTCAGTGGAGAGCCCCAGGCTGCTTCCGCCAGGGGTGACACCGAAACAGGACTCTGGATCTGAGAGGCCATCCATCCAGGAAGCAGACTCCCCAAGAATGAGCTGCCCAGAAGTTATCCACTGGGGCCCCGGGCAGGTGCTCCCTGTCAGAGCTGCACCCACATCCTGTACCTTGAGTACCCTGTGCAGCCCAGCCTGACCCAAGCCCAAACTTACCTCGAACCCAGGGGTTAAAGAGCAAGGTGAACTGGCCTAGGAGGCGTGGCTTCCTGCGTGAGACCTGCAGCAGGAGTGAGTAGTGCCCAATGACAGCATCGGAGGGCGTGGTCACAGAGATGGTCCAGGCCTGGGCATCTCTCTCCTCCACCTGCGCACTCCAGCTCTTCCGGTTCCCCAGACTGGAAATTGGGAAGGTGGCTTGGGTCCTGTTGGCCTTGGAAGGCTGCTCTCCTGCAGTCACAAATGGCCAGACGAATTGGTCATTTGGACGGCTTGGTCACAACTGAGTAATAGAGTCATGTATAATAAAGTTGGAGCCGTTAGTTTGGGAGGAGAATAAGAAGCCCATCCATTAATGGGAGGCAACAGAAGGTGGTGGGAGCACACAAGTTCTCATGTGCCCATGGGTCTACATTTAGACATTTCATAGTCTATAAAATGGGCGTGATAATAATACCTGCTTCAGAGTGTCAGTGTGATGAGATGCTGCATGTTAAGCCCTTGGCCTAATATCGGACATGTATACAGATCCAATAAATAGTAACAATTAAATGTGACATTGAGCCTGGATTAGATCCCATCCGGCTTTTCTACAGAACTGATATTATATTTGCAACCAAAAGGAAGCCCCGTGTGATAATGCTATGAAGCAACCTCTGAACCCTGCTAAACAAGACTTACTCTGCACATTCTCTTCTCTTCACAACAGCCCTGCTGGGTGGGCAGAACATCTTGAGGTCCAAGTACCATGTAGGCCATTTGTCCCTTAGCTCCCTGAGAGGGTGATGAGAAAGAACCCTCCAATCCTGCTGCCAGCGGGGTCCAGGCCTGCTTCACTTACCGGTCTGTGCAATGAGGGCCACCTTCTTTAGGGCAGGCAGATATGCGGTGACTGGATCCCGGAAGTGCAGCCTGATGGCGAAGGGTTGTCCCCTCCTCACAATGAGACGCCTGGAGCTGATGTCCTTGGTGTGGTGCTCCTCATTGTTTCTTGCTGCCTGGAAGTCGCAGCTCTTGATCCCCAGGGCTGTGTGGAAAAGAGAAAGCATGGAGACTAGGTAATTGTGACAAGTAAGGAAAAGCAGAGACTCTGGAGTCTGCAAAACCAGGGTTCAAAAATCCTTGGCTCCCAGGCTGGAAACTTTCGTGGGAACTTGAGGGTCTGCTGAATCAAGTGATGAAGGCTTAGATCTGGATGTGTTGAGTTAGTATAGGGCTGGGGTGTTGATCTGTGAGTGCCTTGGGTGGGGCCTGGATGAGGCTGGTGGACCTATTGGGAAATGTCTTTTGTGTGAAGTGTATCAATTGGCATGTGGAGGTATTATTGATATGAGAAAATGCTAAGTAACTGATTTACTATCTGAAAAGGGATTTACTATTGGGGAAATTGAGGGAAGAAGAGACTGAACATAAACTGCACCTATGGATGAGGACAATGGGGGATGGGGAGGGGGTTGAGGGTGGGGTGGGAACTTGGTGGAGGGGGGAAGAAATGAGGAACCTTTGTAATAATATGAACAATAAAGATTGATTAAAAAAAAAAATCCTTGGCTCAACTTACTAGCTTGCTAAGGCAAGTAACTACGATGACCCTCTGTTTTCTCTTCCCTAGAATGATCACTCCTCCTTGTAAGGTTGTGGAAATTAAATAAAGTAATATATACAATAGCGGTCCCCCCAGCCCTCCTTATTCCTAGGGGATACATACCAAGACTTCAGTGGATGCCTGAAACTGAAAATAGTACCAAACCCTATAGTATACCAGACATTTTCAACTGGTGTGCAATAAAGTTTTTTTTAATGTGCAAAACCTGACTATTTAGTCAGGGGCACTGACCTCTTTTCCCTTAGATTGTCAAAGAAAAAAGTGAACACAGCCAACACAATAGCCATCCAGTGTGAATAAACAAAAATTATACCTAATTTTTGTCAGATCGACAAAAAAAATATATTTTTGGTGTGCCAGAGACTTTTATAATTAGTTTATGTGTGCTATATGATGAAAAGGTTGAAAATTGCTGCTATATACTATATTTTTCCTATACATACATACTTATGATAAAGTTTAATTTATAAATGTGTCACAATTAGAAATGAACAGTAACAATTAATAATAAAATAGAACAATTATAACAACATTCTGTAATAAAAGTTATGTGAATGGTTTGGGGCCATTATTAAGTAAAATAAAGGCTAGTTGAATGCAAGCACTGTGATACCACAAAAGTCTATCTGATAACCGAGATGGCTACTAAGTGACTAAGGGGTGGGTAGCATATGCCATGAGTAAACTGGGCAAGGGGATGATTCACATCCCAGGAAGCACAATGTGTGAGATTTCATCCTGCTACTCAGAAAGGCCCACCACCTAAAACTTAAGAATTGTTTACTGCTGGAATTTTACACTTAATATTTCCAGATCACAGTTCACCACGGTAACCGAAACCACAAAAGTGAAAACATTGATGGGGGACTACTGTAATACACTTAGCTTAGGGTCAGACACATAAGTCCCATTAAATGAAACAGTAATTCTTCTTCTTCTTCTTAATAATAATAATAAGAGCAGTGCTTGTTCTCATTGTTGACCCCCTTTTCTTTCCCAATCCTAAAGCAATGAATAAAACCCAGACTCTTGCTCACCTCTACTCATATTTTCTACAAATATGATCCTGGGACAAGAATATAAATCCATATTAACCATTATAACCCCCTTACCACCATCAATACAATTATGACCACAAACTTACTGCCACAACCTACTCTGTTGCTACTGAATAGCCCCACCACCATCACCACCTCCGCTACCAGCACCCATTACCACTCCTCAACAAAGTCACACCCCCCATCACCTCCACCGCCATCCTACTTCCTTTAATGAAAACACATAATGATGGAGGGGCTGCTGACAGTCCAGCAAGCCCCATGGAGTTGGCGTGACTCACCCTGTCCCATGGTTGCAGGCTGCCCTTATCCACGTGGCCACAGGAAGTGTCCGTCTTGAACTGTTGCTTGGGGCTTCCTCTCTGAATCTGTCTTCCAGACAAAAAAATAATGGAGGTACTTTTGTTGGCTTAAGAATCTACAAATAGTGGCGTTTCCTTCTGCTTCTCTTGTGAGCTCTCTGACAAGTTTCTTCTCTCCTGCTCCCTCCCCACTGCTATCTCTTGAACCAGCTGTTGGGAGTTACCATTTTTTTATTGTATCTCTTGAGCCAGGAGGCCAAGCAGGCTGGAGTGGGAAAGGTCTGCCATCTGGAGAATCCTGGAAGGAACCTCTAAGTCTGGTGCTTCAGTGGCTTCGGGCGACCCTCTGAGATGTTTCCTGGATGACACTGAATGGCTCTGGAAGAGATGACTCCACAAATAGGAAGCCCACATCCAACCCCAAATCTCAGGCCCTGAACATATCCTGGGCTGCAAGTTGCTAGATGTTTGTGGTCTGTTTTGATAATACAAAGAGAGGACATGTATGCTTGGGACTCATCTGTGTGAAAGAGATAAGGAGGTAGAATTTATTGGTGAAAAATAAATGTTCTGAAAGCAGAAGACAGAGCTCAAACGCTTCCAAACCTGTCGGGTCTGGGACTCTCTATCAGAGAGGGTGTGGAACTATCTTGGGATGCAGAGCCATGTTTTGTTTTGTTTTCTTGTTCTACTTGTCTAGTCACAGAGGAGACAAGACACAGGAGATGATTTCCTATTTGGCTGTCTTTGACCTTCTACAGCCCAGCTATTTATTTGCTTTCTGAAACTGTCACCAGAAGCATTCTCAGGGCACCTGTACAGGCCTGCCTGCATGTGGGATATCTCTAGGAGGAAATAAGAGAAACAGCAAAGAACAATGGTTGCCTGTGGGGAGGAGAGCCAGGGGGTGGGCTCATAAGGTGATTTTTCTGCTATTGGCTCTTTTATACTTTTAAAACTTTAAACCATTGTCCATTTGAAAATTCTTATTTAAAAAATGAAGCTGCTGCTTTCTCAATCCCCACCCCCCAAAAAAGATTCTTCGTGAGAAACGAAGAGGTAAGTTTTTCATTATTTGATGACGATATGTTTTTTTTTTTACCAGAAAAACATGAATCTATTAAAAATGATTATAAAGGATAAGATAATATAGAAAGCTGATCTTAAGTTTAATGCATTCTCCATAAAAATGCCACCCAGCCAGTGTTGCTCAGTTGTTGAGCATTGACCTGTGAACCAGGAAGTCATGATTCCATTCCCTGTTGGGGTATAAACCCAGGTTGCAGGCTCAGTCCCCAGTCAGGTGGTGGTGGGGGGGGGGCAGGAAGAGGGTGGTATGCAGGTGACAGTTGATTAATGACTCTCTCTCATCATTGATGTTTCTCTCTCTCCCTTTTTCTTCCTCTCTGAAATCAATTAAAAAATATTTTAAGTGCCAACAAAAATTTTTTTTGACACTACAAAAGTTGATTCTAAGGTTCAAAAATAAAATTTTAAAGGCTTCCTAGATATATCCACACTAATAAAAGAGAAACATGCAAATTGACCATACCTCTGCTATGCCATAAGCCATGCCCACCAGCCAATCAGGAGCAAGTATGCAAATTAACCCAACCAAGATGGCTGTGGCCACAGAGAGAGCAGGAGGCTTGGGTTGTCCCCAGCAATGGAGGAAGCCTAGCTTCCTGCCCTGCTCTGGCCAGCCCTGGCCTCTGCTCAAGGCTACAAAGTTTCAATTGTAGAAGATAAATAAATCCCAGATACCAGGGCCTCCACTTGGGTCGCTAGGGGTGTGTGGCCAGCCTGCAAACCACCACAGTCCCCTTGCCCAGGCTGCCCCATGCCCCCAAGGGATCTCCCACCCTGATCTGGGACACCCTTCAGAGCATACAAGCCAGCCCCCACCAGTGCACCAGGCCTCTATCCTATCTAATAAAAGAGTAATATGTAAATTGACCATCACTCCAACACACAAGATGGATGCCCCCATGTGGTCAAAGATGGCTACTCCCATGTGGTCAAAGATGGCTGCTCCCAGGTGGACACAGATGGTCACCACAAGATGGCCAACAAGGGAGGGCAGTTGGGAGGGACCAGGCCTGTAAGAGAGGAAAACTGGGGGTGATCAAACCTGCAGGGAAGGGCAATTAGGGGTGACCAGGCTGGCAGAGGAGGGAAGTTGGAGGCAATCAGGTCTGCAGGGAAGGCAATTGGTGGAGGCGGGGGGGGGTGGGGGGGGGGGAGACCAGGCCTACAGGGGAGGGCAGTTGGCAGCAATCAGGCTGGCAGGGGAGTGGTTAAGGGGTGATCAGACTGGCAGGCAGAAGTGGTTAGGGGCAATCAGGAAGGCAGGCAGGTGAGCAGTTGGGAGCCAGCAGTCCTGAATTGTGAGAGGGATGTCTGATTGCCTGCTTAGGCCCAACCCCAGTAGGTACTTTTGTTGGCTAAACAGGAAATCAGACATCCCTCAAGGGGTCCCAGATTGGAGAGGGTGCAGGCTGGGCTGAGGGACACCCCCCCCCCCTGCATGAATTTTGTGCACTGGGCCTCTAGTTAAGACATAATAAGATATTACTGTGCATAAACCAAATGTATGCATTAAGTAGGTGCTAAAGGTGGCAAGTAATATTTAATATCTACCAAAACTTTAAATGTCTATACTTCTGAGTCACCCCTAGATATTCTATCATGCAAATAACCAAATATGTATAAAATGAAATATATACAAGTATATTCATTGCACTGGTGGTTACAATAGCAAAATATTGGAAACTACCTAAATGTTCATAAATAAGGTACTGGACAGATAAATTATGAGACATGCATTCAAAAGAATACAAGTCTGAAAAGAATGAAGTAGCTCTATATCAATGGATACAGAACAATCTCCAAGCTATATTGTTAAATGGAATAAGTAAGCTATAAAGCAGTGTGAAAAGCAAGCTACTTTTGTATACAGGATATGTGTGTGTAGGGAGAATATATATGAATTTACCCTGTTTCCCCGAAAATAAGACAGTGTCTTATATTAATTTTTGCTCCCAAAGATGCGCTAGGTCTTATTTTCAGGGGCTGTCTTATTTTTCCATGAAGAAGAATACGGCACACATTTATTGTTAAATGAAAATAAAGGAAATGTATTACCTGTATATGGTGCGGTAGTACGGTAGTTGTCAACACAAACCAGACAAACTGTGAATCCTACAGTATCAAGAATTTACTCATTTATTCAATGACAATCATGTCATCATCTTCTGGAACATCATCATAACAATCCAATTCCTGAATTTCCTGGTGAATTTCTTGTGACTCCATTTCTTTATGAATCAGTGGACCAAATCTCTCATGTTTAGCCTAGGGGGGTCTTATTTTCGGGGGGATGCCTTATATTTCACTCAGAAGGAAACCTGTAAGTAAGTCTTATTTTTGGAGGATGTCTTATTTTCGGGGAAACATGGTACTTGTGTTTATCTACACTAATAAAAGGGGAAAATGCTAATTGCTACGCTCACAGCCAATCAGAGAGAGTATGTAAATTAACCCAACAAAGATGGTGGTTAATTTACATATGCTGAGGGGGGAGGAGTGAAGGCTGAAGACAGCATAGAAAGAAGAGGGAGGGAAAGGGGAAAGCAAGGTGGCTGCCAGAGGGAAAGCCGGGTGGGGCGGGGCGGGAGGGGTGGGCGGGGCTGGCGGCAGTGGGGGCAGCACATGCGGCAGCGTGCCTGGCCACAGTGACTGCTTGCAGGAATCTTCCTGCAATGGGCCCCTAGTATAAAATATTTCTGAAAAGTTCTTGCTTCTGGAAATTCAGTCCCACAGAGCTTCACAAAAACCCATGATCTAGCAGTGTTTCACTTGGGACACTTTGGGGTAGCCTATGATGAAATCGATACTGCTTTGGTTTAACGATGAGTGCATCATGTGAGAAGGATAGAGGGAGGAATGACCAAAAAGGTCTGTTCTGCTTCCCAGCACTCACACATTTTAACTCCCCAGTCTCCGGCAAAAAAAAGAATAAAAAAAAAATTGTCAGCTACTGTGTACCCAAGAATTCATTTATTCATTGATGACACAAATATTTATTGAGCACTGTTGTGCATCAGGAACTTACGAGGCACTGGTAATTCCGTAATAAATGAGATAAATGTGTCCCTGCTACCCAGGAGCTTTTATTTCAGCAGAGGAAACAGATGGTATGAAATGCTTACACCACTAATTACTTACTTGTTATAAAAGAGAGACTTCAAGTTCTAGGACCTAGGTGTGGCGGTCAGGAAAAGCGTCTCTGAGAGAGTGATGTTTAAGCTGAGAAACTGGAAGGATAAATGGGAGTTAGCTAGCTAATGGGGCAAGGGGAGGGGCTGGTGGGAGGAGAGAGAACAGCATGTGAAAAGGCCCTAAGGCAGGAGCTATTAAAGGAAGGCCGTGGAACTGGAGCACAGACTGTGATGAGGAGAGGTGCAGCAAGGGCTAACCCTAGCAGAGTTGAGTCAAATGTTTTGATTTTTTTCCCCCCTTAGAGTGCTGGGAAGCTATTGAATGGTATTTTAAGCAAGAGAGTAACACAATCAGATTTGTATTTTTAAAAATACCAGGCTGAGTAAAATAAGGAAAATTATTCAGTGGCGGGGGGTGGGGTGGGGGTGGGGGAGTAGAAGAGAGAGGACCAATTAGGGACATGGTTTAAGGGAGAAATGATGGTGGCCTGGTCACAGGAGTTTTTTTTTTTTAAATATATTTTATTGATTTTTCTTACAGAGAGGAAGGGAGAGGGATAGAGAGCTAGAAACGTTGATGAGAGAGAAACATCGACCAGCTGCCTCTTGCACACCCCCTACTGGGGATGTGCCCGAACCAATGTACATGCCCTTGACCGGAATCGAACCTGGGACCTTTCAGTCTGCAGACCAATGCTCTACCGCAGAGCCAAACCGGGTTCGGCTGGTCACAGGAGTTTTGGTGAAGATAGAGATGGACAGATTTGAC